CAACTGCAAGAACATGACTAGTCTGGTTGTTGGCATTATGTAGAATGTTTTGCAGAGAATTATCCCACTACTAAAAGCGCTTGCATTAAATAGGCATGTATTGCACTAAATTATTATAAATAATAATCCTTGCATTTGATATAGTGCCTTATCACGTCTTTGAGAAGTTTCAAAGCATTTCACAGAATATATTGTAAAGTGAATTACTGTATATTTTGTGGGTGAAATGGGGATAGATTAAATCAGGTTAGTTGCTAATGTAACTAAACTGTTGAGATACTGTACTTATTCAGTCTATGTTAGTATTTATTGATGAACTGGCTCCAAGATGACATGTTTGGCAATGAAATGTTGGAATTGAGCCAACTTTCTGTGGCAGTCTCGGTAGTGCAGTTCCTGAACCACGCAGGTCTGCAGTATTCCAGGACACTGCTGATGACAGCACGGATACTCTGGCTCATTGGCAGGACTTGGAAGGATAGATCAGTCACTGGGGGCAGGGAATCCTCCCACTCAAATCCTGTTAACCATGCAAGCCAATGCCCTAACTGGTAGGGTGGTCCTAGCTGGACAAGCAGCGGGAAAACTTGCCAGACTCTACTATCAATGACAAACTATGTTGTTTTAGCTGGTTAGACTCAAGTAGCACCCCAATGCTCACCCTCTTTTTGCAATTATATGACTGTTACTGAGAATAGTGGGTCATCTTGCTGAAAATAATATGGGGAGGCCTGACAGAAATATATCTTTGTTTGTGTGCAACCATACAAATTTCTACTCTTCTCTCCCAAAGGTGCTGACTCATGTTGGGGTACATTCCATCCATGTGTGTTTTACAGGAATTCTGGCTGCCTTTCTCTTTACCAAGTCTGTGGCAGTGGGGTCAATTGTAGGATCCCTACTATTGGCTGATCAGAGGTCAATAAACTCAGCAAACGTAATAATAATCTTTGCATTTGATGTAGCGCTTTTCATGTCTTCTAGATGTCTCAAAGCGCTTCACAGAATATACTGTAAAGTGAATTGACTATATTTGTGGGTGAAACGTGGCAGCCAATTGTGCACAGCAGTGTCCCACAAACAGTCGTGGATTGAAGTGACCAATTTTATTGTTGTTTTTTCTTGAGGGTTTATTATTAGGTGTGTGGAGTAAGGAAACGTGCCCAAGGTTTCGCCCTGCCAGGTATTGAACCCAGGTCTTTCACTTGAGAAGAAAGTGCTCTAACCACTGAGCTACAGGACTCCACATCAAGTTCAAGTTCAACCCTGGGAATTTTCAATTTGAAAGGTTCAATTTCACATTGTAGATATCAATTGTGCCACTGTGGCCGCTGACTGACACTTTTAAAATGTTTGCACTTAGATTCATAATTATTTTGTATTTAAGCATAAGACACTCACTATGCTATTTCAAATTATCTTTTAACACACGTCTTACATTGTTTTGGTTATTATAATAATAATAATCCTTGCATTTGTTATAGCACTTTTTACGTCTTCTCGACGTCTCAAAGCGCTTGACCGAATAGACTGTAAGGTGAATTGACCGTATATTTGTGGGCGAAACGCGACAGCCAATTGCGCACAGGCAATGTCCCACAAACAGTCGTGGATTGAAAATGACCAATTTATCATTGTTTTGTTTTGGAGGGATTATTATTAGGCGTGTGGAGTAAGGAAACTTGCCCAAAGTTTCGCCCTCTGCCTGGAATTGAGCCCAGGTGTCTCGCACTGTAGATTACAATGTATTGCAATGTAGGTTACAATGTATTGATGTGGTATTGAATCATTCTTAACAATGATCTCCAATTGCAACTTTGTATTCCATCTTTGCCTCCTATAATAGTGAGAGAGGTTATTTGTTTTTCTCTTAGTTATACATTATTGTTTCTTAAGGTCCCAGCCTTTGTTCATTTGATGTTCTTTGTTAGTATTGTGATTCCTCGTAGCTTTTTATGTCTGGCTTTTTAAAAAATATTTTTATCTAATTTCTAAATGTATTACAATTGTTAGGCAAAATGAATTGATTCCTGATTCGATATACTCTCCAAGTATAGTACAAGTAGTTACTTGGTAGTGTTCTTTCAATCATCCATTCATCATATCTCTTGTAATCATTTTTCAAAGAACGAACAATTCCATGTTGGCTTTATATATTTGCTGCAAATTCATTAGTGAGTGGTCAACAAATAATCTGTGTACAGGTTGAAGATAATTTGCTACCTGATTTTGTATGTGGTGGAGCAAATGGTGGGGAGGGGAGGGTTGCCGACATACACACAAAGATAACAGACTATGTATGTAGATCATGACAGTCTGTTCCAACTTGTCCAGAATAGTAAAACCAGAGGACACGGCCTGCGATTGAAGTGGAGTAAACTCAGAACAAAACTACGGAAACACTATTTCAGTGAGAGAATAGTAAACCTGTGGAACAGGCTCCACGGGGAGATGGTTGAAGCAGGAAGTGTTGATTCCTTCAAACACAGATTAGATAAGTTTTCTTTTAGGAAATAACATTATGGGATATAGTACATTAGTGCATGCGACCGTCAGGAAGGTGGAAGGCGAACGAGATGGACCTTGGTCTTTTTTTCGTCTAGCATTTCTTATGTTCTTATGTATGTAATGTTATGATTGTGACAGGTAATGGCTCCAATTTTGTCCCAATTTACCATGGATGAAATATATTTAGATTCATTGGCCACGGGTGAAAATATTTTTTGGGTTGGGGCCTGAGCTGAACTATGTTCTCATTAAACATCCTAACCGTGAGTGCTTCGCTGCAGACTGTGGAGTGCATGTGTGTCTCTGACTGTTTGTGTGTGTGTGTCCCAACACTGAATCCAACTCCCGCTCACTCAACTTATAACATAACATGTAGGAGCAGGAGTAGGCAATTCGGCCCTTCGAGCCTGCCCCGCTATTCAATCATGGCTGATCTTCTAATCTAACTCCAGCTAATAACCTGACCCTGCCTTATCCCCATATCCCTTAATCCCTTTTGCAATAAGAAATCTATCTATCTCAGTCTTGAATATGTTCAAGGACTGAGCGTCAACAGCTCTTTGGGGTACTGAGTTCCATACATTCACCACTCTTTGAGTAAAGAAGTTCTTCCTCAACTCAGTGCGAAAGGGCTGGCCTCTGATTTTAAGGTTGTGACCTGGTTTTAGTTTTTCCAACCAGGGGAAACAATCTCAATTATTGACTGCTACATTTGTTTTGCCTTACGTCCCGGTACAACAACAACAAATTACATTTGTATAGCGCCTTTTACGTGGGGAGGACGTCCCAAGGCTCTGGATTGTCAAGATTTGAACCCTAGCTGGAGGTTGGGATCAGGAGAGGAGAAGTGGAGAGCAAGGAGGGTAGGGGTAGGAGGATGACCAAAGGGACGGTCGAAGAGGAGGATCTTGAGACCCTTATATTACTTATGGAACATGAGGTAGGTGTCCCTTTCTGGCCGCAACACCTCATTAGCCAAAACTAATTTGGGGGGGGGGGGGTTAAGCTCCCTCTAGCCCAAGCCACCCACCACCTATGTGTTGATTAAGAAGCAAAATAAATACGATGCTTAAACAACAAATGTCAGGTGCCTGTGGTTTGTGCAGAACAAATGATTCATATCAGAGCCAACTTTACTAGTTATGTTTTACACTACCACCTAGTTGGATCAGATTGTTATCTGCTGCTTGATGCTTTCAAAAAACAAAATTAAGTTTAAACTGCGTTTGCACAGCAATTTGTGGTGTAAACAATCCAGTTCTTTTGCATCTCCTCCGGACCGTTTCAAAATGATCAGACAGTTTTGACTTGCAGGTTTGTCTTGCACATATTCACATGACCAGACTCCAGAGCTTTCCATGACATTGAATGAATATTTAAATACGATGCAACCTAATTTGCATCAAGTTTGCAGGGCTATGGGGAGAGAGCAGGGGAGTGGGATTTGTTTTGGATAGCTCTTTTCAAAGAGCCGTCACTGACACGATGGGCCAAATGGCCTCCTTGTGTGCTGTACAATTCTATGATAATTTGCACACAGAGCATCTTATTGTGTTACACATGTTATCTGCCCCATCAAAAAAACATGTTTTGCAACTGCTCCCTCTGAATTAACGCAGGAATCCCCCCCCCCCAAAAAAAAAAGTTTGCGAAAGTGCTAAAGAAACATCTTTCCTTTCACGCTTCTGGAAAAAAGATAGTTCATGAAGTATTAAAAAGTACGGTTTCTCCCCCCCCCCCTCTTCGGGAGACGTTTATTTTTTTTATTTCCCTCCGTGGATGCATTAAAGAGTGCACGGGTCATCTTGCATAACCCTCCCTCTTTCATCTCTATCTCTTCCCCCCACACCACCACCATCACCCCCCCCCCCCCACCCCTCCTCCTCCTCCACTCTGCTGAGAGCAGCATCCACCCTGTGCTCAGCCCCGCCCCCTTCTCTCTCTGTTCCTCTCTCTCTCTCTCTCTCCACACACTCCACTCCCCCCCCCCCCCCCACCCCGGGTCACGTGCGTTAGTGACAGAACGTTGCCGGCCCGGGCGGCGGCCTGTGATTGGAGGAGGCGGCGGGCCCCGGAGCGGTGACGCGGGGCCGATCAGCTGTTCGAGGTTCCACAACAATAACACTCGCGGGGGGAGCGCGCGGCGCGGCGGCGGCTCTCTCTCTCTCTCACTCACTCTCACTCACTGAGTCAGTCAGTCCCAGTCACTCTCTCACTCACTCACTCAGTCAGTCAGTCTGCAACAAAGACTCCCTCCCCGCTCACCTGCCGCCCGCTACCTCACAGCCCCTCACTCTCTCTCTCTCCCCCCACTCTCTGTCCCACTCTCTGCCACACGCAATCACACCTCACGACATTGTGCGGGTGTGCGTTTAGTTTCTAACTTAACTTTCCACCCACCCACCCCCACTCCTCCCTCCCTCCCTCCCCACCACCACCACTCCCCACCCCGCAGAGAAAAGAAAAGAAACCGTGAGGGGAAGAAGAAGAAGAAGAAGAAAAAGAAGAAGAAGAAAAGGTGGAGAAGGGGAGGGGAAAAAAGTGCAATAGTAACTTGAAGGCAGGTAAGTGACATGGGTAACTTTTCCTCTTTTTTATTATGTGTGTGTGTGTGTGTGTGTGAGGGGGGAGGGAGGGAGGGGGGAGGGTTGGTTGCTTTTGTTTTGTTTTGTCGTGAACTCGGCTCTTCCGTCAGTCGGGGAGCAACATGCGACACCAGAGAAAACAAAGCGGAGGGTTGGTTGGGGTGTGGGGGGGGCGGGGGGATGGTGAGGGGGGGTGTGGTGAGGGGGGGGGGGGCTGTTGCAAACACGTAATGACAAGTTTTTCTTCTGTTTTGCTGATCCCTCCCCCAAGAAAAAAAGTCATGTTCAGATAAAGCCCTTCCATTATGTTTAGATGCAGTGAATGCGGAGGGCGAACTTTGTTGGAGTGGAGTTTGGGGGGAGGTTGTTGATGGGGGGAGGTTGTTGGAGGGGGGGAGGTTGTTAGATGGGGGGGAGGTTGTTGGAGGGGGGGGAGGTTGTTGGAGGGGGGGGAGGTTGTTGGATGGGGGGAGGTTGTTGGGAGGGGGGGGGAGGTTGTTGGAGGGGGGGAGGTTGTTGGATGGGGGGAGGTTGTTGGAGGGGGGGGGAGGTTGTTGGATGGGGGGAGGTTGTTGGAGGGGGGGGAGGTTGTTGGAGGGGGGGGTGTTGGAGGGGGGAGGTTGTTGGAGGGGGGGGAGGTTGTTGGAGGGGGGGGAGGTTGTTGGAGGGGGGGGGAGGTTGTTGGAGGGGGGGGGGTTGGAGGGGGGGAGGTTGTTGGAGGGGGGGAGGTTGTTGGAGGGGGGGGGAGGTTGTTGGAGGGGGGGAGGTTGTTGGAGGGGGGGGAGGTTGTTGGAGGGGGGAGGTTGTTGGATGGGGGGGAGGTTGTTGGAGGGGGGGGGGTTGTTGGAGGGGGGAGGTTGTTGGAGGGGGGGAGGTTGTTGGAGGGGGGGGGAGGTTGTTGGAGGGGGGGGGGGTGGTCGCGGGGGGAAAGCGATGCTCAGTTGGCGAGGTTGACACAGTAAGTAAAGAGCAAGTGGGGAGAGAGCTTTCTGTGTCGGACCTTCCCGTGTATCGGAGGTGGTGTCGGTTTACTGGACCCCCCCCCCCTGCCCCCCCCCCGCCCCCCCCTCCAGCTGTGGAGCGCTTTAAACTGCTTACGTTTTGCTTCTTTTATAAAAAGGCGTAACTCACTCAGTCGCCTCTGCGGTTTGTCAAACAAGACCAGGTTTAGAGACATGTTTGTTATTGTCCTGTTGTTGCTCGCCAGGGGCTGCTGCGGATGTTTGTTTTCCTGTATGAAATCTATCTTTACTCTTCGATCTCCCCCCCACCCCCCCCCCCCCCCCCCCCCCCCCCCCCTCTCTGGCTCTGATGTTAGAAGCCTTTCAAAATCTACCATTGCAAAGAGCTCAACATGATGATAGTCCCCCCCCACTATCTTACTGTTAGGATCATGTCTAAACCACTTGTGTGCGTATGTGTATCCTCACCCCTTGGCCAAAGTTATTGCTGTATTTCTCAGTGAAGGACACCCACCTACATTCACACGTCTCTAATGAATATGTTTCTAATTTAACTGTTGCACTAAGGCAAGTCTTCTGGACGAACAAAGAATTAGGTCAGGCATTAACGCTGCTCTGTAAATCTGCGCCGTACTGACAGATTTTGTATTTATCCATATCCCCTCTTACACTCCCCCCCCCCCCCTCAAAAAAGCCAATTGCACACCCCCAGACTACTTGCTGGAGGGAGCAGAGTGACCGCAGCCCAGCTCAGGGCGGCTCCTCCCTCAGTCCCACCTTCCACTGAGCCCCTGATAGGGTGGGTTTCACATCTGTCACCATCTGATCTGGCATGAGTTCAGTCCATGGGGTTTGGGACCGGGCCAAGTGGTGTTCTGCCAACATGGGAGGGGCTGAATGCTATCCATCCACACAGGGAGGGACCTGTACTGCAAAATAATAGATACCTAGTCTTAATCATATAGGAGATATTGGATGACTGACAGTGTAATCCAGTCAAAGGGGATTCAGTAAAAGCCTGAGACGTGTGTTTGTCCGATCAACCCAAAGTTGGATTAATTCCAGTAATCTGATCGACATCTGGTATATTTTTTGCATTATAAATAAAATTGCCAATGGTTAGTGGTATGAATTAGTATTTCACTGATTGCGAAGCTGTGGTTGAAGGATGCATTATTTTCTAATGCTAAATTATAGAAAAATATTAATTGATTAACATAGAAATTTATCTAAATTTGGGTTTGTAGTTGCAGTTATAATTCATGTAACCTTTGAAAGTCTGGTGCCAAGTATGGTGAATGTGGACTCTGCTGCAAAAATAAAAGACATTGTTTTTGAATCCAGGACATATGGGGACACGAGCAGAAAAGAGATACTGAAAAATGATCTGAGTGAGATCTGGCCATGTGCCTACATATTAAGACAAGATGGATTAACTAACTTAAAGCTCAGTGGTTAGAGCACTTGCCTCACAAGTAAGAGACCTGGGTTTGATTCCCAGCAGGCGAAACCTTGGGCAAGTTTCCTTACTCTACAGGCCTGATAATAATCCCCCAAGAAAAAAAAGTAATAATTTGGTCACTCAATCCGTGCCTTTTGTGGGACACTGCTGTGCTCAATTGGCTGCCACGTTTCACCCACACATATCCAGTCAATTCACTCTACGGTATATTCTGTCTGGAAGACATGAAAAGCGCTATATCAAATGCAAGTATTATTATTAAAGCAGATTAAATACAGTGGTGAATAATATGAGACAATAACCCTGAAAACTGAGTATATTTAAATGGAAGACATTTCTTGGTGTTTTGCTCACACTTTATAGTATATTCTGTGAAGTGCTTTGAGATGTCTCAAAGATGTGATAAGATACTATATCAAATGCAACGATTATAATTATTAATTATATTTTTGGTATATATTTCATCATCTGAGTTCATTTTGTTAAAGTTAGTAGACCTCTTCCCCCTTCACCACGCACACATATTGTCACATAGCTGATGTGCTTTTAGACCTATATCTGTATTTAGCTCTCAAGAGATGCTTGAGAGCAGCCAGAGATGACCTGACCTTCAATTTTATCCCTCTCCCTATAGGGAGCTATCTAGCAACTACTTAGTAACTCCTATTAGTAGCCAAGCTTGGGTACTTGCTATGTGGGGAAATGTAAACCAGAGATGATTTGTTCTGTTTCTTTGTACAAAGGTCAGATATTGGATGCATAAGAAACAACATAATTAATCATTTAAATATCTTGTTACTTTTGTAAATGCAAATACCTGTACATACTTTCTGATTTTTGCAGTCAGTTCTTTATGAATGTTCTGCTGAAGAATGATAACAAGAATTAATTAATATTTACATTCGGTATAGTGCCTTTCACATCACGAGAATACCCCAAAGCCCTTCACAGGAAATACTGTAAAGTGGAGTGACTTATGTATTTTGTGGGCGAACGCGGCAGCCAATTTATACACTGCAATGTCCCACAAACAGCCATGAAGTGAATGACAAATTTTATTTGGTTGAATGTTGGCCAGGTCATTGGGTGAAACTCCCTTTTTTCAAATAGTGCCATGGGATTTTTAATGCTAACCTGAATGGGCAGTCAGGGCTTATGCAGATGCATTTAAATATTGTTGACTGTCTCAATCCTTTTGGAATCTAGACAACTGAACGTCAAGTTTTGCTTTACCTCACAAAGAACTGGCTGGGAGAATTAGGTTCTGCAAATGGTGAGCAGACTGCCCTTGTCTACATTCCACGAGATGCTGTCTGGCGTGAAGGGCACTATATCAATACCAGTTGTTATCGTCTACTGACACTAAATGTTTAGGATTGCTTTTACAATACAACAGTGTAATACAAATTCACCTTTGTATTCAACAACAGCAAGATTACATCTGTATAGCGCCTTTCACGTCGGGAGGACGTCCCAAGGCCCTGGATAGTGTACAGCATTTCAGACCCGAGTTGGGGTCACGGGGGAGAGGGGAGGGGAAGGGGGATGACGCTCGGCTGAGCGGAGGGTTGGTAGGGAGTTAGGAGGTCACAGAGTTAGGGTGCGGCGAGAACATTGAGAGCTTTGTATGTGAGAACCAGGGTGAGGTAGTGGCGGAGTTGGGCGATGTTACGAAGGTGAGGGAAGGCAGAGCGGGTCATGGCTTCGATGTGGGGAAGAACAGACAGTTGAGGGTCGAACAAGACACCTAGGTTCCTGACTGACTTGGTGAGTTGAAGTGTGCAACCATGGAGGTTGATGTTGCCAGAGCCTGAGGTGCTGAGGCGCTGGCGCGAACCAATCAGGAGGGCCTCAGTCTTGTTCACATTCAACTGTAGGAATTTGCCCTCATCCAGGACTTGATGTCCGACAGACAGTCTGTCAGGACAGCAGTGGTCCTGGAGTTGAGAGTGGAGCAGAAAGATAGAGTTGGGTGTCATCCGCATACGTGTGGAAGTTGACCCCATGTCTGCGGATGACGTCACCGCGGGGGAGCATGTGGATATTAAAGAGGAGAGGGCCAAGGACAGAGCCCTGGGGGACGCCAGACGTGACAGTGCGGGGGATGGAGGAGAAGCCGTTAGTGGAGACGGTGAGAGAAATAGGAATCGAACCAGGCAAGGGCAGGTCCGCGAAGATTAAGTAAGGAGGAGAGGCGGTGTATGAGGATGGAGTGGTCGACAATGTTGAAGGCGGCAGAGAGGTCGAGGAGGAGAAGGAGGCAGAGATGTTCAGAATGTCATTAGTGACTTTGCCCAGGGCTGTTTCTGTGCTGAGGGCAGCGCAGAAGCCGGATTGGAGGGGTTCAAAGAGGGAATGGCGATAGAGAAAGGAGCTGAGCTGGGACGCGACTTCTCGTTCCAGGACCTTGGAGAGGAATGGGAGGTTAGAGATGGGGCGGTAGCTGAAGAGTAGGGATGGGTCCTGGGAAGGTTTTTTCAAGATGGGGATGATGACAGCTGTTTTTAGGGGGGTTGGAACTGAACCGGTTGACAAGGCGAGGGGTTGATGATGTCGGACAGGAGAGGTAATGTGGGGGGTGGCTGTGGATGGGGCAGAGGTGGCTGAATATATCCCCTCGATTTTGGTTTCAAGGAAATCCAGCATCTCCTCACAGTTGGGAGTTTGAGGAGAGGATGGGCGAGGCATGGCAAGGTGGACGGAGGACACGGTTTGTGGTGGAAAAGAGAAGTTGTCCTTTGCTTCCAAGATAACCTTGGAGTAGAAGGAGGATTTGGCGGAGGCAAGAGTGCAGCGGTAGATCTTGGTGTGGTGAAGCCAGGTCCGCTGATGGACCGTTAGTTTGGAATTGGTCCAGGCGCGTTTGGCAGCTCGCACTTGTTCCTTGAGGGAACGGAGATGGCTGGTGTACCAGGGTGATTTATGGGAGCATGAGGCAGTTCGGGAGGTGAGGGGGGCAAGGGAGTCCAGAATGAAGGAGAGGGAGTTGAGGAGAAAAAGAGAGTGAGGAGGGGAGATCGTGCTTTTCATATAGCGCTTTTCACATCAGGAGCATATCTCAAGGTGCTGTGCAGTTCAGTGTTTGCATGTTAGCTGGGGTTGGGTGCCAGCAAGGTGAGGGGGACGAGGGCGGAAAGATGGAAAAAGCACAGTCAAAGAGGAAGGTCTTGTAGTGGACCTTGAAGGAGGTGAGAGAAGATTTTGAGGTTAAAGTACAACATTTCTGTAGACTGGGGGTTGCATCTGTTCAAGCTTTATCTGACTTGGAAGTGCTGGATGCCCTGATTGGGGTGGAGGGGGGGAGTGGAGGAGAAAAGAATGAGTTCCCTTCCCCAGCATTCTTCATTGTGATGAGCTGAAAACTATAGAACTTTTTATTTAAATTGCCGCTTAAGTGGTTGAATTAGCTTTCTGCTGGGTTCTGAATCAGGAGCTGAATGGCATGGAGTAATACAAGAAGGGAAGATCCCCAGATTTGTTCTCTCATCTGTCCTAAGTTAGTTCTTCTCTGAAAGGCAGCAGTACGTGTTCCACAATTAGCTTTGGTTGTCCCTACAGTGATGCCTTGGTACATTATTATTATTAGATAGTTGCTGCCTGTTGAACTGTATGCTCTGAAATGTTACAATGTTTAGGGGATCCGTTTAGCGGGCAGACAAGAAGCCATTTTCTGTTGTATGTTCAGGCAGCGTAACATCATTGAGTCTTATAAATTGATCAGTACTCTTGATGGCTCATTTATAATGCTGGACGTGATTTGAAGTGACTTCCAAATGTAGTAATAATAATAGTAATACTTGCATTTGATATAGCACCTTATCATGTCTTCGAGATTGCATGATGGGTTTATTGGGTAAATGTCCTATAGAGTTTTGAATACAGACCAGAATGATGCAATAAGCTGAAATCCCAGATTCCATTGTTAGCGTGTGCATCTTTTTAAAAAAATTCTGTTTTATTTTAACAAATCCATGACCATGTAGAAGCCAGACAGAAGATAAACATTACAGCAATCATTAAGTGAGAGAATACAACACATCCTAACACAAATTCTGCTGTGGTAACCAGCATGTACTAGTTTGTTAAACCCAGATGAGAATGGCGGGTTTTATTTTTTTCTCTGAATTCACCATGTTTAAAGGTGAACCATGCCGTTTGGAAAGTGGACGAAAGACTCTGGTCAGTTTTGCAGCTAAAAGTTAAACCAAATATTAGAAAACAAATACAGTACATATAATTTGTCCATATTCTTATGGTCGGCTCTTTATTAATGGTAATTTAAACTTTGTTAGCAAGTCAGATTGTCAGATGCATTGTCTATTTCCCCTCATCAGGGGAAGTAAGCATATTAAAATGCTTCCTTCCCCTGGTGAGGATTTCACAATTTTTTCAGTGACTTAATAATAGGTGATGTAAATTGTTTTAGTCTTTAAAATAGTTTTAGTCCCAGTTTCCTCCATCCCAACTACTCCTCTTTTAAGGTGAAAAATGTTCAATGTTTCTTCAGACTCATCATAAGAGTTAGCGAGATGAGAAAAGTTCATCTGGTCTCCTTGTTCCAATCGTGATCCCATTCATGGCATCTCAATGTATTTTGAATAATCCCAAATTGTTTGTGTCTGAGATCCTTGATGTTATACCAAGCATTTACAGTGTAATTATTTGAGTTAAATGTTTCCTGATATCTATTTTTGGATTAGTTTCCTTGGCACTGATCAAGGTAGCTTTCAAAGGGATGTAAAGGCAGGAGGAAACATGAAGAAGAATGGACTATTCTGTATGGGACTAACCAATACGCTATGCCCTTGAGGTTTGCCTAGGATCTAGGGAAATTGTATTGTATATCAACGTTTGTTTAGAAATAGACATCAGGGAGTGGTGGAAAACAAATAATCCAAATTAACAGTTAAGTGCAATCAAGAGGAGGAAATGAATTCCCATTCCTTACCTTTTAAATGTTATTTTTAATGATACGATCCCTAACTATGTAAATTTTCTAAATGTTTTAACCAATTTTTAACTACAGTCCTGTCATTTGAAATGACATATGAGATGTTGAGTTACACTGTACATATTGGTCTAATATGGATCTGTTTGTTAGTCCTTTCACTAATTTTCATGACTTCAAATAGAAGCATGGATGAGCAGCTATTTAGTTTTCTGAGGTTTCTTTGAGCTCTTATGCCTTTATTTCAACAAGGAGCATCTATTTTCACTAATCTATTCTTTTATAGAGACGCAGTGGTAAAGTATCCTACAAGACGCATTACTATGTTGTCCTCAGAGGAATATGACATCATGTCATAATAATGTTATTGTGCCACTGCTCTTAAGTGCCACAGTTTTGTTTTTCCCATCGTAATTTGAGCAAATTAAAAACCTGAAACCTGTTTTCCTTTGCAGGCAATATAGTATCCAATGCAGCATAGGTGTATTGCATCGTTTTGCCCACAAAATATGCAGTCAATTCACTTTACAACAACAACTTGGATTTATATAGCGCCCTCCACACCGGACGGGGTCTCAGAGCGCTTCACAGTAACGGATCCCAGGGCCGAGCCAGGGGGAAGGGGAGGAAGGTGACCAAAGGCGCAGTCGAAAAGAAAGGTCTTCAGCCGAGACCTGAAAATAGGAAGAGAGGGAGCGAGGCGAAGGGAGTGAGGAAGGGAGTTCCAGAGCCTTGGGGCATAGTGGCTGAAGGCACGGCTGCCGAGGGTGGAGCGAAGGACTTGGGGGACAAGGAGGAGGCCAGACCCGGTGGAACGAAGGCAACGGGCACTGTTGAGAGGAGGTCAGAGAGGTAGGGGGGTGCAGAGGAGTGGAGGGATTTGAAGACAAGGGTGAGGATCTTGAAGTTGATCCTCTCTGGGACAGGCAGCCATTGCAGTCTGGCAAGGACTGGGGTTATCGCGGAGCCGAGTTTGGTGCGGGTAAGAGTGCGGGCGGCAGAGTTTTGTATGACCTGGTTTTTATGGATGGTAGTGGAGGGGAGACCGGCGAGGAGGGTATTTGAATAGTCCAGCCCAGAGGTGACAAAGGCATGGACCAGGGTTTCAGCGGCTTTTGGAGTGAGGTATTGGCGGTACACAGTCAATTCACTTTACAGTATATTGCGTGAAGCGCTTTGAAATGTTTCGAAGACATAAGGCGCTATATCAAATGCAAATTCACCCATTGGTGGCTGGAGAATATTGAACTAAGTTCAGAGGTTGCAGTTCTATGAATTGAGGCTGACTCAAAGGCTCTTGTTTATGAAGTGGAGGTGGGGGGAGGCTTAATCACTACATTTACTGTTTGGATTAGCTTGCTAGATACAATTAATATTCCTACAACAACAACAAATTGCATTTGTTTAGCGCCTTTCATATTGGAAGGACGTCGAGGAAGAGTTTGCAATAAAACAAGCTGATTACTTGTCTTTAACTTCTCACAGTGAACAGATTAAACTTACTGTTAGATCCAATCATTTTATTGCAAATCTTTCTCCATGAATAGAACACAGAGTTGCCATCACGTTCATGCGCTTAGTATAATCATCCTGTACGAGGCTGTTTGTGTGGGGGGGGGGGAGAAGCTAAATGGGTGGGGAGGTTGGCTGAAAGTACAGTTGAAAAGATGGGTTTAAGATTAAGACTTTTAAGACCTATCCCATTAAGTATTGTCGCAAACTAAGCTTTTTAGATTTACATGAGGGGAGATGTCCTATTAAATTGAGTTTACATTTTCTCTGATTAATTTCATATTCTTGTGTTTTGCTTTCTGCACAGATACTTTGAAAATTCGTCAGTGAGCCTGTTTTTGCAACGTGTGGAATTTTGGAACTTTGTGAATTTGAGCAACCACTGATCTACCTCCTTGTGCCACTAAAGTGATTTCTTGCCAGTTCTGTCAGGCACATCTGAACAGAGGCACCTGACTTTCCCCAAGTTATGTACCAACGCTTTTCAAGCATGCTGTTTGGAGAGATTGATGGTGCTGAACGTGAAAGTCAGGAGCTAGAAATTAGCGAAAAAGAAGATGAAGAATGGATTCTTGTTGATTATATAGGTGAGTGGTTTTGACCAAGATGATGTAACAAAATCCTTATAAACTATGTGATGATGTTGTATTGATGATAACTTTGTATTATTGCAGCCACTTTATAGATTTAAACCAAAGCAAACAATATGGATAGGACTTTTTTTCTATCATATTGAATATTTGAATACAAATGATATGGTCTGCAGTACAGACAGATGCCACAGCTTAGTGTTTAATGATCATGAATGTTCCATAATAATACAAACTTCATGATCAGGTTATTACTAATGTCCTGTGTCAACAATGTATCAGTTAAACTGCATGATTCTCCAATAGCTTAGAAGGTATATTTGGTTAGGAACTGAAAAATGCAGACAAGAAAGTCCTGAGTTTTGAACTCCAAATACCTTTAGGTGATCTCAAATTGGCAGCTGTCTAGGCATTATAGTAATGATCTTTGTTCCTGTTCTGGAGGATGAAATTAACGGTTATCTCCTATATTTGTTGTTCAATAACCCTTGCATGAAAGTGTTTATGTAGACAGAAGGCTCAACTATATTACCCTCAGCAGCAGAATAATCTTACAACACTCGCTCACTATCCAGGCAGATTTTTGCTTAAGTGAGGCACCTGAAAATCAAGCCAATACATGTACAATAGAAAGAGAATATGATTTGATGTGTATTCGCAAATTACACATAGGGGTGACATTTGGAATCAGATACATTAATTGACGCTAGTGATAATTATCTTATGTGGCCGCATGGTTAGTTGACAATTGGTCTACATATGTCATTTTCTCTGCCACTCCCACACGCTACCTTGGACAGATGGCTATATTGAACATCTATGCCTTTGTCTATAAAATACACAACCACTACACTTTACAGTAAATCTTGCGAAGTGAGTTAAGACATCCTCTTGATGTGAAGTACAAAGATTATTATTGCTCAGAGCTACTGAGGCGAATTGTTTAGTTGTTAAACATAATGTGTTTGTCCACTCATTTTGATCACACAAGTGCAGTTAAATGCTATTTCTTAGTCCACCTTAATTAATCAGTCACCTTGTGGTTCCTTGCTCTATCTTTATGCTGTTTTGCACCGAAACAATTTCAACTCCTAAACTTAAGAGTCTCTTCCCCCAGATATAAATGTTCACAAGAGCCAAGTTATTAGAATGATCAAAAAAACCAAACATTAATTCTTAAGTACTACTGAAAAGTGTTTATAATCTAGGAATTGTTCCATACTTAAAAGCTGATTTTAACATTTTAATTAATTCTGTTCACACCTACATATAAGAACGTAAGAAATGCTGGACGCAAAAAGACCAAGGTCCATCTAGTTCGCCTTCCTGGCGGTCGCATGCACATATATCCCAAACTACCTCTGTACTATATCCCATAATGTTATTCACTAAAAGATAACTATCTAATCTGTGTTTGAAAGGATCAACACTTTCTGCTTCAATCGTCTCCCTAGGGAGCCTGTTCCACAAGTTCACTATTTGCTCACTGAAATAGTGTTTGCGTAGATTCGTTCTGAATTTACCCCCCTTCCATCGCAGGTCGAGTCCTCTGGTTCCATTATTTTGGACAAGTTGAAACAGCCTGTCATGATCTATATTGTTTTGCCCCTTTAGAATCTTAAAGACAGCAATTATGTCACCTCTCAATCTTCTCTTTTCTAGCATGAACATACCCAATTTACTTAATCGCTCCTCATAGTCCAGGGCCTCCATATCCCTCAATCATTCTGGTTGCCCTCCTCTGTATCTTCTCAATTTCTCCAATATCCTTTTTGTACTGTGGTGACCAGAACTGTACACAGTACTCTAAGTAAGGTCTCACCAATGATTGATACAGTGGCAGGATTACTCCACTATTTTGGCTTGCTATTGATCTTTTGATACACCTAGAGGTCCAATGTACCTTGAGGAACAAATTGTAATCTTATGAAAATTTACTCTGCAGATATTATATAGAGTTTGAAAGACTTTGGGAGATTGGAAAGGTGCTTAATCTATTTCAATGTGTCTTTGTTGACAGTTGTGAACTAGTATTGTTAGTACAAATACACTGCAGATATATACATAAATATGTATGAAACTAATGAAATGTGTCTTGTTTTCTCATTTTTTTCCCCAATACCCACTTCATGCTTTAATATCTTTCTTAATTCTTTACTTCTAACGCATCCCATTTTTGTTTCCCATCTCCTTATTTGCTAATCCTTGCATTTGCTTTTGATGCTTATACAATTTAACTATTGCTTGCTGCTTATCAGATACTTGCACTAACTGCTCCAGAGAAGAAACAGATGGCATGGACAGGGCAACCTCTCCAAATTCAGCCATGTTCTCCTCTTCAACCTCTTCTCTTGAGTTGCTTGGTAATAGTAGTGACCCCTGCTTTCTTCAGCTTGACTCCTGTGCTCTGGAGGAGAGCTGGTTCATTACCCCTCCCCCCTGTTTCACCGCAGGAGGCCAGGCCCCAGTACAGGTGGAGATGAGCCCAATGGAAAACCTTCTTATTGAACACCCCAGCATGTCTGTCTATACTGTGCACAATATCCACAGCAGCTTGAGAGAGAACAGCAGGTCTGTTGAATATGAAAATCCGACTGTCAGGTACGTTGGTGTTAATGATAAGTTTATCAGGGAATACTACAGGAGTTGTAGGCACAGTGCAAAGTAGGTGACCTGGCCTTTGTGAATAGATAAGTTTGAACTTCATAAGAGATTGGAAAGTTTCTCTTGGCCAGTCAGAGATCATAAAACCTATATATACATCCTCATGATGGCAGCAATAGAACTATTGCTCTTAGTGTTGAAGAAATTACAAGCGTTTCACCTTGCTCCTTCCCTTGCCTCCTTCAAGGCATGACTCATGACCCTCCTTTTGACCGTGCCTTCAGCTGCCTTCCTACCTCTCTGCCCTCCCTCATCCCAACTCTGCCCCCCCAAGCTCGGGTCCTGATCCCTGACTTTTGAGCGCTTTGGGACAACCTCCTGATGTGAAAGGCACTTTATAAATGTAACTTTGTTGTTTTATTAACAGAATTATTTTCCCCTTAAAATTAAGCTTGTTCAATTCCAGAGCAAAATAATGCAAAAGATATACTGTGAATCTTACCTAAACCTCCATTTCTACTGCTACATTAGAAGTACTGAACACTGTGAAGGTTTTCTGCCAAGAAAATTGTTTTTATTGCTCATAAATGGTTAAAATGTGAATGGGTTCAAAGGGTAGAACAAGGAAATACAACAATAAAATTGTATTTATATAGCGCCTTTCGCATCAGGATAACCTTGCAAAGCACTGGATTTTCTGAAGTTGATCTGGGAAATAATTGGTAAACACAGCGAATCTTTGAATCTTGTACCCTGGGAACACTTTTTTGTTTGCGATGCATATTTATTCTTCAATTTCATTCTAAATTTTCTATTCTCCCACAAAAGAATGGTCAAACAATCTATTCCTTGGCCTTTATCAATTTGTTCTATAACTGGCCACTTGGAGGCAAATCATAGTAGAATATCAGAGTTGACTTGCTAGGCTTTGACTTTCTTATCTTTGGGGCATGCCTGGCACCGGTTTCCAGTTTCAATTTCTCCTTTTACCACCTGCTCTCCATAGTCCAAATAGGAGGAAAACCCACTTTCAGGACCATCACAACTGCCGATCCAAATCCTTTAATTTCACATCATAGAGAACGCTGTTCTACCAAGTTACCTTTTTTTGGTTGAATCTGCACTTTTAAGACTACCAAAGGCAAGAGCACTAGGAACACCATTGTGGACTTGGGCCTTGATCAGATTAAAGACCAATTTTGAAATCAATCGCTGGCTAATTGACAATGGCACTAAAAGGGCATGTTTTGCCAATCTATTCTTTTCTCAATTTATTTCAGCTCTTCCACAGCACAATGAAGCTTGTTGCATGTACAGGCAGTGGCAGGGTTGAATGATCAGTGGGTAGTAATATTCAGTTGATAAATGGCAAATAAAATAAGACTATTTTTAGCTTTATTTAAATTTTATTTTAACAACAACAACAAGATTCCATTTATTGAGCGCCTTTCACGTCGGGAGGACATTCCAAGGGGCTGTACAGTTGGGTCAGGACCCGAGCAGGGGGGAAATAGTCAGGGTGAGGGGAGGGAAGGGAGGGAGCGAGGAGGGGGTAGAGAGTCAAGAGGGGAGCTGAAGGCACGGTCAAAGAGAAAAGGTAAACGTCAAGTCTTTAAAAGCAAATTATAGTACGACTATTATAGGAAAAAAAACATGAACTGTCTTAATGTCTGAGTATTGATATGGTTGAATTATATTGAAGAGATGTTAAAGGGGAACTAGATCCATGAGTTTAAGTCATTCCTTTTGTTACTGTGAGGTTTTTACAGCTGTTTCTTATTCCTCTGGTCAGAATGCTCTTGCAGTGTCACCACAGTCTTGAATTTTGTACTGAAACTGAGCTGCAACAGCAGGCTAGTTCTAGATTCAGTGATTTGGGCTATTTTGTTAATGTCACCATATTTTTGTGCTGGGAAACCTGCAATCGGACACAGGAGTATGAGCACTGCTACTGCATGCTAAGTAGCGATAGACCAACACTACACCATTGGTTACATTGAAAGGCAATTAACCAGTTCCCCGCAAGCAATGTTTAATTAGTATTCAAAAGCGCTCTTAGGTATTTTTCAATCATGACAATTTGAGACAGACACTTATTACAAATGCTTTCTCTGCAAACACACATTCTGCGAATGTATTGAACATATGAAATGCTGTTACAGACCCTGAGTTGCTCCTGGTAATTAAAACCTCAGAATTCTCTTCACTCTGGTAGAGGAATCCAGAACATCCTAGGAGTAATATGTTTGATGTTTTAAGCCTTTGATAATGTTCACAAGATTACAAGAGGGGTTCAGATGGAGAAGACCCTTTTAATTTCATTCTTCCAGAATATCCACCTTCCCATTTTCCCATTATAGCATCGAGCTGTTTCTTAAATGACTCCTGGCCTCAATTATCCTTCCTAGTAATTTATTGCGATCATTAATTGCTCTCTATGTAGGGAAATTTGGTCACGACTGTTAGTGGGCCACTGCTGAGTGCAATTCGCTGCCGTATTTCACCCACAAAATATACAGTCAATTCACTTTACATTATATTCTGTGAAACGCTTTGGGACATCTGTATGTGGAGTCCTGTAGCTCAGTGGTTAGAGCACTCGCTTTGCAAGTGAAAGACCTGAATTCAATTCCAGGCAGGGCGAAACCTTGGGCAAGTTTCCTTACTCCACACGCCTAATAATAATCCCTCCAAAACCAAAAACAATAATAAATTGGTCATTTTCAATCTACGACTGTTTGTGGGACATTGCTGTGCGCAATTGGCTGCTGCGTTCGCCCACAAATATACAGTCAATTCACTTTACAATGTGTTTTGTGAAGCGCTTTGGGACGTCCTCCCGACGTGAAAAGCGCTATATCAAATGCAAGGATTATTATTATTATCTCAATGACGTGATAAGGCTCTATATCAAATGTAAGTATTATTATAGAAATGCTTTCTGATAAGTGTCTTGAAATTGCCCATCACAACCCTGTGTCTGTGCCCTTTTGTTCTGCTACCTTGTCATACTTGAGAATGTAATTCTGAGTTTACTATTTCAATCCCAGTTACAATTTCATATACTGTGCCTCCATTACTTTCTGATTTACTTTCATACTAGTGAAAAGGAGCACCAGATGGCAGTACATCCCTCACAGAAGTGGTTTCTTCTTTTCAGACCTGCATCACTGCCATCTTTTATTCCCTTGAAGTGAGGGCAAATTCCAGCCTCTAGTTGGATTTCTAACGTTGTGTGATCTGGTTGATCTGCCAAGGAGTGGCAAAATGGACTTCCCCAAGCCCAGAATTCAATGGGCAGCCAAAGTCTGAGGTCTTGGGTCCAAATTTTTTTTAAAAAAAAAATACAACAAACATTGTGCCTGGAGGAACATGGATTGCACCCCTCCTCACCAATTCAACCCTAGAAAACAAATATTAAAGAAGCGTTTTTTTAGAAGCCCCTTCAGGGGCTACATTTTACAATAACACTCATCTGAACAAAGAATCAAAGATGGCAGTGGTTCAGGTGGAAAGGAAGAAATCACTGCTCGGGAGGAGTCCTCTACCATCCAGTGGTTGTGTTACTTTACACAGCATAAGCAATGCAAGGCTTAAAACATAAACTTTTTAGAGCTAAGCCAGTTAAAAGTTAGATCAGAAAACATTTATTAAAAGAACACAATGTGAAAATGTGGAATGCATTACCTTTTTTTGCTCAACCGGATGTCTGACACAAGCTTAAGAGTATCCGAGCCAAGCTGAGATTTCCATGCATCCCACCTACACATGGAAATCCCAGAGATAGATTGTTGGAATGGACTGTGCACTCTCTAGCTGAAAGTACGCATCCTTTTGACTTAATTCCAGAAAGTACGAGGTGCAGATTGGGAAGAGCCAAGGTTTGAGGAGCCCAGAGTTTGTGTTGCCGTTGATATTGCTGTCTGGTTCAGGAAGTGGATTACTGAGACCACCACAGAGGGCTGGCTTGTTTCTGACATTCTGTTGGCAGGCATGTCACCTTGGAGCCAGTTCAGCTCCAAGGAGACACGACTAACCACCCTACCCCCATGCGTTACCCTAGAAGGCTGAAAAAGGAAGAATTGATATTCGGAGGGATAGATGAATACTTGGCTTTGGAAAAAGGATAAGAACATGGGATTAAAAGAGCTAATAAAATGGTAGAACTGTTTTGATGGGCTGATGGTCTTCTGTTCCCATATTACTGTATCATGTTACTTCACAGAGAGTTTTAGACTTTTTAAATATCAGGTAGGGAAAAAAAAATAGTATTTCCAGATCAGGTGGACATATTAGTAGCTGTATTACTCTGTAAACTGCTCTTCATTGGAGGAAGGGAATCCATTTCTTCATATAGCAACACTAGGAATTCTAGATAGTTTCACTGTGGACGAGAACTTTGTTCTTTTATTATTTTAAAAGGAATGCTGCAGAGGGACTTTTGAAATGTAACCCAACCAGATGTGCTTGTAACATCGGTGACTGCACAAAGACTCGCACATCTTTGTTTCTGCAGTCCACACGTTTTTCTTTGCGAGGTAGATTGCTTGTAGATTGGGTCCGAAGTGAGCCTTCTCTGAGATGGTGTAAGTGGCTGCCAGATAATGTCGGTGCCTCTTGTTTGCTTCTCTATTTGATTGGGAGACGAAAAGCTATTGCACTAACCTTTCTGCAATGACTCCTTTCGGTAAGGTTGACACGATAGTGATATTGTCGACAAACCTGATTTACATCTATATGTGGTATATCATAGTAATGTCATTTGTTTGGTTTTAATAGAAAAAGAGATTGTGGAGGTTAGACACAGTTATTAACAGTATCCAGCTTGCAGCATTTCCTTAAAAACAATTATTTTGGTTCCTTGCTCTGTGTTTGAACCAAACCCAGTGATTAGACTACACAAGTTTGGTATGCTTAGATGTTTGTGGTGATATTTAAAGGTAATGTGCACCTTTTCAGGAATCAAATGTCTCTCCATATCCTGTAACGTGTTGGGTATTGAAGAGTTATTTTTTATTTTAGAATAGTTATTAATTCCTCATGGGGGAAGAGGAGGAGAGGGAAGAAAGGAATTTAAATATATTTACATATATTAAATAATATTCCAAGATGACTTTGCTTGTGGAAAGCAGCAGGAAGCATGCCAGCCAGTGTTCACAATGGCAAGCTATATGATTGTGGAAAAAAGCTTATTATTCATTCATTTAAAAAAAATTGCTGTAGAGTTGAATGTTTCCTAATGAAGGCCCATTATGTGCATGCATAAGATGAGCTTTTTATAAGACAGCTAAATGTCTGACACACTTCAAAACCCATCACCATGCTCAAGGTTATTCATCCACATCTGCATGGAAATTTTTCTTTTTCTGACATGGAATCTGCATTCTTTCCCCGCAAAGACACATCCTGCTTACGTAATCCTAGAGCATATTAGGTGCAGATTGGCAGCACGAAGGCTTGGGGACCCAGGAGTGTGCATTGGGGTGCTGCTGGAGTTTAACCAGCTAAAACCATATAGTGCGCCATTGTGAACACTGACTGGCAAGCTCCCTGCTGCTTGTACAGCTAGCACTATAAGGGTTTTAGCTTGCAGACTTAATAGGAGTCTGTCCTTGGTGAGCTACCTGTTCCTCCAAGTCCTATTGAAGAGCCAGGATGTCTAGTTTGGAGTACTGTGGACCTGCCTGGCTCAGGAACCAGACTATTGAGACCTCAATAGAGGGTTGATGCAATTCCAACATTCTGTTATCAAGCATATTACCAGCTCAGCTCCAAGGAGACTCTGTTTACCAGCTTCCCCCCTCCCAATTCTTCTTGGATGTCTAAACTCCCCATGTGAATGGGCATTAGCAAGGTACTGGGATGGTGGGAAGTAGCTGTGGAAACCTATCCAGAATGAGGCTATGAACAGGAAAGGGATGTTTTTTTTATTAGATTAGCTGCACTGCTGGCCCAGTTTGGCATATATCTAAGGCAGATACGGTAGGGGATCTGAATTGCATAAATTAGTATTAATTTAATATTAATTTAATGTCAGGTCATCAAGACATCTCAAGACATCTCAAAGTGCTTTACAGGATTTACTGTAAAATTGTGGGCAAACAGAGCAGTCAATTTGCACACAGCAATGTTCTGCAAACACCTAAATTAATGAATAATTTTCATCTGGAGGATTATTGGCCAGAACACCAGGAGAAACTCCCTTCTAGTTCAAATAGTACCATTTGACCTTTAATGTCCACCTGAAATAGCAAATGGGTCATCAGTTTAATGTCTCATCTGAAGAATGGCAGCTCTGACAATGAGGAGTCCACCAGCATTGCATTGGAGTGTCAATCTAGAAGTGGAGCTTGAACCTATGAGGAGAGAATACGACAAAGAGCCAGATGCTGTAATTGCCAATGTCTCAATGGATTCACCTTCTAGTACCTGTGGCTACAAATGGAGTCCTGTAGCTCAGTGGTTAGAGCACTTGCCTCGCAAGCGAGAGACCTGGGTTTTATCCCCGGCGGGGTGAAACGTTAGGCAAGTTTCCTTACTCCACACGCCTCAGTTCATCTAGCAGTAAGTAGGAACCCGGTTGTTAGTTGATTGGCGAATCGCTTTCCCGTGGATAATAATTCCTTCAAAAAAAGATAATAAGAAATTGGTCATTTCAATCCACGACTGATTGTAGGCTTCTGCTATGCACAATTGGCTGCTGCGTTTCACCCACAAAATATACAGTCAATTTACAATGTGGACCCAGTTCTTTTATTCTTCACTGTGTGTGGGGAGTCTAAGAAATGAAATTTCGTAGACTCCCATACACTGCAGTCTACCCACATTTACAGTGGGAAACATAGCATACTGAGAATGATTTCTATTTAAATTATAGATTGTTAATTGATGGTTGGGTGTGTGTATGTGTTTGTGTGTATGAGTGCACATGTCAATCCATCTGGCTGCAGTCAGGAAGCAGGATGTGTCCCTCCAGGGAGAGAGTGCATATTCCATTCCAACAATCCGTCTCTGGAATTTCCATGTGTAGGTGGGATGCATGGAATTCTCAGTTTGGTCTGGATACCCCTAAGCATGGTGATGGGTTTCCACATGTATCACATAAATGTTCACTCACTGCAACACTAAAGGTGTCAGCCTGGCTTAGTTGTGTATGGAAGCTGGTTCCACGGTATCAACAAGGTAGGTTTTGGATGCACTCGCATTCCTGGAACAATGCAGCCAAGCTGTTTTTGGGATGTGCTTGCACAATCCTGGATCCTGAAAAAAAAGCCCTGCAACTTCGGGTTTAAAAAAAACAAGTTTGGGAGTTTTTTTTTTACCAATCGTCTTTCACTGAATAAAATCATATTTAGAGGTTAAAGACATTTTTAACAGACTTTAATGTTCCTTGGATCAGAAGTAAACTTTTTAAAAAAAAAACAATTTTGAAATTTGGGTAATCTTGCAGCATCATTTAGAATGTGAATGTGTATCAATAATAATAATGAATGATGTCTTATACTTGTTAAGTTCAATTGCTGATATTTTGAAATGGTGCATGAAAATGGGTGCACATATAGTGCATAATATATGGCACTGGTGTTGAATTAAATAATGGAATAAAACTACTGTGTGCTGAATAAAACTGATTATTGATGATTCAGTCGATTTGATCCGATTGACAATTTCCTTGACTTTCCTTTTATTCCAGAACAGAATCACCAGCCAGGGTGAGCCACCATATTCGTTGTTATGCAGCTGCTCTTGCCGCTCACACTAGTTTCCTGGAACAAGCCAATCAGATCCGTCACAGTCAGCGTGCAAAAGAGCACCTCGAAAAGCACCTCTTAAACCGCAACAACATTCGCCGCCAAAACCTTATCAGGGAGTCCAGCTCTCGACAAACCAAGCACAGCGGACACGTTCTACACCAGCCTTGCCAGCGCCAGTATAATTAATTGTCAAATCATTTTAGTGTTCTGAATAGGATTCTTGATGTAAATGCAGTACATCTTTGTAACTCTTTTTAGGGCTCCTTATTTAAAGTCATGGATCATTAACCATCTGGAATAAGTATTTTAAGGTTTCTATTCTATATTCTGGGTGCTTTAAAAATCCTGAACTCAATATCACCAAATGCCTTGTTTCTAAATGATAGGATTTTACTGTAAAATCTTTTTTAAAACTGTTTGGAATTTGTTAAAACTTGTATAGGGTTATGCTTGTTAAAATGGCCATCTCAGATGAAGATTCATTATGTGTGTGTTGTGTGTGTATTCTGAAATTAAGCTGTATTACAAAAAATGTGTGCTGTGAACAGAATTGTTACAATTGCTGTCCGGGAGATGGAAAACATCTTTTCACCTGTGATTGTTTTGTAAAATGAAACCCATCCTAATTCACAACACAGATTCTCAGGGACAATACAGTCTAGATGCACAGTTTTTGTTTCTAAACGTCCATATGTGACCGCAAGGAAGCCCTATAAAAAAAAATGTACAATACTTTTTACAAATGTGTAATTTGGTAGTGTTTATATAGTTAAATAGTTACAATTGATACAGTATATTTGTACATAGTCAAGCTCAGGGGCCACTTACACGACCTTTCTAGCTAATGCTTGCCCTGTTACCAGTTCTCTACTTTGTCCCTCTTTGGATGTGTTATGTTTCGCAAACGCATTTTGATGAAGGGAAATACCTCAATCCTGTGCATTTATATGAAGGATGACTTTTATTTCCTTTTTTAATGCATTATATTGCCTATGGAATCTTATCACAGTACAGCCAACCTGTCTTCACTATCAGTTAAAATGCCCCATGTTAATTCTGCCTTCATTTCTGCCCCGTTTTCTGAATGGCTCCTTCAACAATAATGGGCATTTGTGGCCGATGGACAAGTGCAGATTCTGACAGTAATTGCCCCGAGTGTATTTTTATAATTTAGGTTTGTTCTTTTAATTTTAAGATTTGCTTTAATGTGCAACATTAAAAGGTAGGTTAGGGAAAAAAATGTGAAATTATCATTCTGGAGCCTGTATACTGTTACTCTGTTGTTCATTTGACCAAACCAGATTTTACTTTTGTAGGAATTTTGTAGAATTAAGGAAATGCATTTCAATATAGAAACAAATACCTGTAGCTCCTTTTTAAATGGCCAGTGGATTCAAATTCAGAAATATTTAATTTTGTATGTAGAACATTGATTTTGTATGTAGCAACTAAACCCGACTCTCTGTCAGAGTAAATATTGTAAAAATATATAATCCTTGCATTTGATATAGCGCCTTATCACGTTGAAACGTCTCCAAGTGCTTCACAGTGTTTCACTGTGAAGTGCAGTGACTTTATTTGTAAGCGAACATTCGCCTTGAATATGTTAACAGATTACCTGCCCCATCTCAGGATTTTTAGAAAATCTATAAATAGTTCATCATACATCACCTTTTCCATAGCATACCGATTGAATTCCCAAATCAATGCTATCATTGATGTCATGTAAATAGCCTCCTTTAATGCCCTTGGGTTGTTTGGGAAACTGTGAGTTGATATCCCAGATCATCTCCGAAGACACCTGTTGAACTGTATAAATAAAACACTGCAAAAGAAATCTTGTTTTTTTTTCTTTTGCATGATAATGTTGAATATTTACCGCTAATAATATTATGGTGAAACCTAATTGGAACTTTATCCATGATGAAATGTATAGAAAGATTTTCTGCTGCCTGGAAAATGAAATTTTACTGTGGTTAACTGACAGTATAATCAACTTGTATTTTAACTAAAACAATTTACTGTTCACCATTGTATGTAGATTGATTATTTTGTTGACTGAGTTATGCCAGAGCATTTCTGCACATTGGTGCTGTAAGGTCTGATTGTGGTGGTGGCAGGGAGCAGTTAAAACAAAGGACAAATCCCTCTCAAATTTTTGAACAAAACTTGTACATGTTGTAATAGTTTGTTTTGTACAAAATTATTAAACTGTAGTTTAGATTACTGAATATTTCATACAGGGATTCATGTTGGTTATGTTAATTATGTGCCTTCCAGTGCAACTTGGTTTGTGAACAACATTCATTGGTGATGCAAAAGAAGAATTTGAAGGTATGAAAGATGATATGTAAATATAGGAAACCAATCCAACTATGCATAGAAGGCAGCTTGCTTTGAGAGTTACTTTGTATAGTCTTCTATTGAAATGTACCAGATATTGGGCATGAAAGCCTGAAAATTGTGTAAACACATTTTGGGACTTGGGGGTCACTCGGTTGACTTGCATCATAATCCAGGTTACAGAATAAATACAGCACTTTGCCAAATAAGTGTGTCAACTTTATAGATGTAGCAATAGTAGATGTAATGTTATTTACTAATTTAGGTCATTGGTATTTATAAGAGTGCATATGAAAGGTTATGTTGTGCAGTTTGCACTGTGAAAATGTTCTTTTAAAATGATGGGTATTTTAAAACAAGTTGTATGTACTTTCAAGTAGCCGAAATGTGTGTTGTTTTGAACTAATTGTTGCTTATTGATTTCCTGTATTAACTGTGGATATGTTTTATTTGTCAATAAAGAATGATCTGATCTTGAGGGATTTTTGTCACATTTCTAATAAGAGAAACAATGGAGACTAGATAAAGAACATCTCATCTAATACTACACTGGGCTACTTCAATAATATCTCCTGTCTATTATTAGAGGTTTACAGTCATGGGTGGTCTACTTGAAAGTTTTCAGAAGTTAGACACATAGAACAGGTTTGTTAGTACAGGTTTTCAGCAATGTTTTATGTCTTGACTATAACATACCAACCAAAGTTATTGGGGCAGTTTAGGATTTCATTGGCACAAAACAATTTAAAAGTTTGTCTGCAGTCTAGTGTTAAAGCGTTGACCTGTAGAGTATGTTTTTACTTCACACGGGATTATTCAACAGGTAGTTTTTATTTCTGGTGAGAATTTTAATATTTTTCCTCCCAGAATATAGCAATGTATTCTATTGCTTACACAGTGTAAGGTAAGGGAACTCCTCCTGTTACGTATTGCCCTTATCACTTCCTCAGAATGTTGCCCTTGACTGGCACTGTTGAAGGAGGGCACCTGCTCATTTGTTCCAGTAAATAATGGTATTGCACATTAGAGGGGAAGCTGTTCCATCTGCCTTGTGCAAGTGAAAATACAGTAACAACAATAATTACTTGCATTTATACAGCGCCCTTCATGCTCTCGAAGCAATTAACAGTGGCGGAGCTTGACACTGAGCCAGGTAGATAGGAGAAGGTGACCGAAATCACGGTTATCAGGAATGTCATAGGAATGTCATCAGGTGTGATCTATGATAATAATAATCCTTACATTTGATATAGTGCCTTATCACATCTTCAAGACTTCTCAAAGCACTTCACAGAATAAACTGTAAAGTGAATTGCCTTTATTTTGTGGGTAAAATGTGGCAGCCAATTGCACACAGCAGTGTCCCATAAACAGTCGTGAATTGAGTGACCACATTATTATTATTTTGAAGAGATTATTACCCATGGAAAAGCGATCCGCCAATCGACTAACAAGCAGGCTCCTATTTACTTCTAGATAAACAGGCATGTGTCGCTGTGTGAAGTAAGGAAATTTGCCTAAGATTTTGCCCTGCCCAGAAATCGAACCCAGGTCCTCTCGCTTGTGACGCAAGTGCTGTAACCACTATGCTACATGACTCAAACCATCGGCACTGGCAGACGTCTGAAGATGGATAAGGAGGGGACACGTCAGAGGGATTGAGGCAAAGAACCCTAGAGTCTTGGGGTGTAGTGGATGAAAGCATAGCTGCTGATGGTGCAATGAGGAGATGAGGGATGTGCAGGAGGCTGGAACTAGCTAAGCTAAAGTGGCAAGTAGTAGAGTAGGACATGAGTGGACCAGAAAAGTAAGGAGGTGCCAAGGCATGAAATGTTTGTTCCTGAGTCTGAGGATCTTGAAATCAACCCATTCTGCAATAGGGAGTCAGTGAGTCTGGCCAGGACAGGGTTAACATGGTGCAAAATTTAGTATGGGTGAGGATACAGGTGGCGGAGTTTTGAATTAATTGGATTTTATGAATGACAATATGAATGCCCCTTCATCTGTAGCCCTGTACAGGAGTCCTGTAGCTCAGTGGTTAGAGCACTTGCTTTGTAAGCAAGAGACCTGAGTTCAATTCCAGGCAGGGCGAAACCTTGGGCAAGTTTCCTTACTCCACACACCTAATAATAATCCCTCCAAAAAACCAAAACAATAATAAAATTGGTCATTTTCAATCTACGACTGTTTGTGGGACATTGCTGTGCGCAATTGGCTGCCGCGTTCGCCCACAAATATACAGTCAATTCACTTTACAGTGTGTTCTGTGAAGCGCTTTGGACGTCCTCCCGACGTGAAAAGCGCAATATCAAATGCAAGGATTATTATTATTATTATTATCTGCGTTTTCTGTCATCTTCCCCTCTCCCTCAGCTTCCCTTGGTTTGCGTACCCAGCCAGCTGTGCAAAGTGCTTTGAGACATCCTCCAAACACAAAAAGGCAAGTTGTACATTGTTTAGGTACCAAATTATATACTTGTTAAAGGAAAGACTCAAGTTGTCCTTCAGATCGAAACATCTTTTGCAAAAGGATTCAATTAAACAACCAAAATATAGGTTCTTGTTCTAGCTTGGTCCTGAGAAGCTCTTTTCCCAATGGAAATTTTCTTAAAAATATTCTTTTTAAGAATTTCCCAAATTTGCACTTGCCATTCCTCCCTTACTCAAAATCTTTAAAAATTGCACTACTGTCGATGCTGCTCAGCAACCCCAGAAAGTTTTTGTTGTCACGCTCTAATTTCATCTATCCACCAGGAGCCTCCATTACTAAAGATAATGGAAGTTCCATTGGATAACCAGAATCAAAGACATATGATATTGGTTTTAGCTCACAGCCCTGGTCACAGAGAGAGAGGTCACAAACAATGTCTTCTCTCTCTCTGTGACCAGGACTCTCTCTGCCTCCTCATCCTCCTGGACCTCTCCGCCACGTTTGACACAGTCAACCACGCCATCCTCATCCACTGCCTCTCCTCCGTCATCCACCTCAGTGGGACCGCAATAGCATGGTTCAAGTCCTACCTTACAAACTGCTTTCACTTTAGCTCCTCAAACGGTTGCTCTTCCCGCCCCCACCCGGTCACCTGTGATGTACCCCGGGGCTCCATCCTTAGCCCCCTCCACTTCGTCATCTATATTTTCCTTCTTGGCGAGGTCATCCAAAGACATGGGGTAAACTTCCACATATATGCAGATGACACACAAATCTACTTCTCCTCCTCAAGATGCAACTCCAGGTCCACCAATGTTCTGTCAGCTTGTCTGGCTGATATCAGGGCCTGGATGAGTGAATACTTCCAACCACTAAATGTTGACAAGACGGAAGCCATTTTCATTGGTACATGTCAACGTCTTCCATCCTGTGCCTCTGACTTCCTCAACCTCCCCAGCCTCTCTCTCAGGCTTACTGAACCAGGGCGCCTACTAGACATTAGGTTCGACCCACAGCTGACTTTCCTTCCCCACGTCTGGTCCCCAATCAGGACCGCCTTCCTCCACCTCTGCCACATTGCCCATATCTAAATGTGCCTTATCCCAGACGCAGCCAAAACACGCGTCCATGCATTCGTCACCTCCCAACTCGACTTCTCAAATCCCCTCTTTGCCAGTATCCCCAGCTCCACCATGTACAGGACCCAGCTGATCCAAAACACTGCCGCCCATATACTCACCCGCACTAAACTCCGTACCCCCATCACAGCATTTCTATCCAGGTTCCAGTGGCTCCCCAGCACCAAATGGATCGATTTCAAAATCCTCACACTCATTTTAAATCTCATCATGCCCTGGCACCTACCTACCTCTCCGACATGCTTACCCCCCAACCCATAACCTGCTGCCTCCGCTCGACTGACTTCAGCCTTCTGCATATCCCTCATACACCGTCACTGATGGCTGCACTTTCAGCCACTACGCCCCGAAACTCTGGAATACTCTTCCTCTATCCCTCCACCCTCCCCCCAGCTCGGTCTCGTGCTCCGCCACTGTCAAGTTTTTAAAGACTAAAGGAATTAAGGGATATGGAGATAGGGCAGGAAAATGGAATTAGGTTAGAAGATCAACCATGATCCTATTAAATGGCGGGGCAGGCTCGAGGGGCTGAATGGCCTACTCCTGCTCCTATTTCTTATGTTCTTATGTTTTTATGCTCTGAGAAGCTTTGAGACGCCATCTGGCGTGGAGGGCACTATATAAATCCAAGTTGTTGTTGCTGCTGTTGCTCTGGGATGATACCCTGCGTAAGGAGCACTCTCTAAATGCAAGTTGGTGTTGTTGTTTTAGAATAGGATGACAGTGAGCTGGGGCCTAGGGTACAAGGGGCCATCTGTAAAGAATATAAGCCATAATTCACAATAATATTTGCATTGATGTCAAGTTGTCAAAATTCCACAAAGCACTACATAGGATTTCATTGTGGTTTCACTGTGGTTTCAGTGCTCCAAGATATGATATAAATGCAAGTTGTTGTCTATTTGAAGACAAATATGACTGCCAATTTGGGCATAGCAATGACCCACACATAGCCATGAGTGAATGACCAATTTTGTCTAGAGCATTGTTGCCATGTCACTAGAAAAAACTTCCTTCTCTTTTTGAATACAACCATAGGATCTGGACAGGCAGGCTGACCGCAGTTTAATGTCTCATCCAAAGGATGGCACTCCGGCAATGCAGATTTCCCGCAGCTTTGCACTGGAGTGTCAGTTCAAAGGTCCGATATGGGCCTTAAACCAATAATCTTCTGACTCAGATGTGAGAATGCTACCAACTGAGGCAGGCCTCATCACGTCAGAATTGGGGATATATGGAGAAAGGAAAGTGGGTCAATGTTTTGGGTCCATGACCCTTCATTGAAACTGGGGGATAACAGGGGTTTACACTGTTCCAATGAAGCCCAGTGCAAGCTCGAGGAACAGCACCTCATCTATCTGCTAGGGACCTTACAGCCCTCTGGCCTCATTACCAATTTCAACCACTTCAGACCATAAGAACAGCTCTCATCTTCCCATCTCCCATAACAGCTCACATTCCCCTTCACCCTCTTCTGTGACCATCAGCACATCATCTGGGTCCCAGACACGCCCTTTCTCTGGTCTGCCTCTGGTGCCCTCCTTTGTTTTCTATCATTAACTCCTCTTTAACCCATCATCCCCTGTTCTCCATCCACTTTCTCCTGTGTCTTCCTTGTCCTGCCTTCTCCCCTCTCTGCTAATCCCATGCCTATACCACTCTTGCTTCTAAATATTGTGCACAATCTGTCTGCCAATTTGTTTCTTTCCTGCCTTTAGCCCCACCTTATGATATTGTGTTCATACATTTGTTTCACACCTGTTTACTGCTCCATTCATTTCCCTGCCCGATCTCCTTTCTTTAAACCAATTAGTCATTCCTTTTCTTGCTGCTGAAACTTCAAGTTCTGTTGCTCCAGGTCAAACAGTCTCTATCACACATTGTAATGATCCCATGAACTGCAAACATCTGTATATATAGTCCAAGTGACTCAATTGTATATGCACATGATTGAGATATGCTAACCTGTCACCATCTCTCCCGGAGTAAGGATTTGATCAGCCTTGGATCTGAATTACGTGTCCTGGTTGTATGTATAGTATAACAGTTTATCAATATTGTTTTGATTGAATAAAGTACTAACTTTATTCTAACGAGATCCTGCTTGTTAGTCTTGTTGTATTACGTTGTGAAGAACTCTAAAACTTACACTCTGAAGCGCTTTGGGATGTTCTGCTGACATGAAAGGTGCTGCACTAAATGCAAATATTTTTATTCACATAGGATAGAGTTTCCGAGCACTGAAATAGTCAATATTCTAATAAAACACAAGCTAATATGTTTAGAAAAAATGCTCTTGCCATTTGATTTATTTTTAATACTCTCTTGTTGTGCCACATAATCTGGAATCACATTTGCTACCTCGGCATTCACAATGGTTTGACAAATGGAATAAGCTGTAGTAAATTACAGAGAAGATGAGAGCTTTATTGATGCAGTATTGGGACCGTAATCACATATCCTGAAAGGTTTTCCAGGCATACAACTAAATTGGCACAATTAGAATAAATAAAAAATAGTTAGTGAGAGCTGATAATGCAAAAATGGAAGATTACATATTTCATTTATTGAAAAATTGATAACTTGCAAAGCCATTCCAGCACAGAAGTGGGCCATCTGGCTCATCCTGTTAGCCATTTTTCTAAGTCATCCTTTTTTTAAATATATTTTTAAATAAAGTAGATCCCAGACTTAAATAGGCAATCTGGGAATATTCATGATTTTATAAACCAGTGGTTTCCAATTAGTCAGCTAAAAAATTGATTCTATTAAGTATCTTAAAGTGTCAGAGAACAGCACATGTTAAGTATTCAGAAGAGTGAAAGTATTAGGTGCAGATTGGCGAAAGTGTGCTTTTGGCTGGAGACTAACCAGCTAAAACCACACAACTTGCGTTTGATATCGCTGTCTGGCAAGCTTTCCTGCTTATTGTCCAACTAGGACCACCCTACCTGACAGGGCTTTGGCTTGCAGCATTAACAGGAGCTGAGTGGGAAGAGTTCCTGACCCAATTGACTTGTCTGCCCTTCCAAGTCCTGCCGATAAGCCAGGTTGGCTGTTCTGTAGCAGCAGCAATGACCTGGAATACTGTGGACCCGCCTGGCTCAGGAACCGGACTACCGAGACTGCCACAGAGAGCTGACTCGATTCCAACATTCTGTTCCCAAGCATGTCACCTTGGAACCATCTGGCCATCAGCTCCAAGGAGACCCCGCTAACCTCCCCTTCAAGTTTGATCATATGAACATATAGTGTGTAACAGCAGTGAAACATATGTGCATTGACAGGACAGTCTTGGCATCTCCTGGTATGAGTTCTAATCATGTAGCAATAACAACAACAAATTGCACTGGACAATCAGGGGTTTTGGACCCGAGGTGGAATTTGGGGTCATAATAATAATAATAATAATCCTTGCATTTGATATAGCGCTTTTCACGTCTTCTAGATGTCCCAAAGCGCTTCACAGAATATACTGTAAAGTGAATTGACTGTATATTTGTGGGCGAACGCGGCAGCCAATTGCGCACAGCAATGTCCCACAAACAGTCGTAGATTGAAAATGACCAATTTATTATTATTTTTGGTTTTGGAGGGATTATTATTAGGCGTGTGGAGTAAGGAAACTTGCCCAAGGTTTCGCCCTGCCTGGAATTGAACTCAGGTCTCTCGCTTGCAAAGTGAGTGCACTAACCACTGAGCTACAGGGCTCCATGTAGCTTCCCATATACAGGGAAGGAGGGGAGGGAGGGTAGGGTTGGGAAATTGTTCAAAGGCACGATCGAAGAGGAAGGTCTTCAGGACTTGAAGGAGGCAACAGAGGGGGTGAGGTGGAGGGATTGCGGGATAGAGTTCCAGAGTGTTGGGGCAGAGATGCTGGATGCTTGATCACCAATGGTGGGGCGGGAAGTGCGGGGGACCTGAAACAGGCCAATGTCCGCCGAGCGGAGGGAGCGGAAAGGCTGATATGAGGGCCTTGAATATAAGAATGAGGGTTTTGTACTCGATTCTCTGAGGAATGGGGAGCCAGTGAAGCCGGAACAAGAACCAGGGTGGAGATTCCCAGAGCCTGGTGGGGGAGAGGACATGAACTGCAAGTTCTGAATAACCTGCAGCTTGTGGAGGGAAGAGTTGGGAAGTCCAGTGAGGAGGCAGTTGGCATAGACAAGCTGGAACGTAATGAAAGTGTGGATCAGGGTCTTGGCGGCCTGCGGTGAGAGGCAGTGGTGGAGGTGGGCAATGTTGCTGAGGTGTGGAAAGATGGAACAGGAGAATGGGTCACAACACAAATGTGGGGTTGGAAGGATAGGTGAGGGTCGAAAAGGACACTGGGGTTCTAGATTGGTTCGATGAGGTGAATGGTGATAGCAGCCTTGAACACAAGGTATGTGACTTCCCTGTAGCACACAGTCAAATAAAATCTGATAGCACTTATAGAATCATAAAAAGTTTACACACAGAAGAAAGCCATTGAGCCCATGTGTCTAACTGATGCTAGCATTGGAGTTATCTACACTTTCCTCTGCTCATTCTCATAAAGTGCCAAAGTCTCCCCCCTCCCTCCCTCTCCCCCCGGCTTGGGGTCAGACTCCGGCATGGTAAGCGCTCCGGGACACTACCCGCATGAAGGGCGCTATATACATGCAAGTTGTTGTTGTTTTTGCATTCATCATGCGAACCAATCTTGTGATCTTCTGACCACCCATTTGTATTCAAGCGCTTCACAGTCTACTGATCCTCCACCTAAATCAAATCTAACATTTATTTATTTTCTTTCTGTAATACTCCATAATTTGTGATATTTCTCTTGTTACTGCCTCAATGATCAGCGTAATTAGTCTCTATAACGATAACCCCTCACCTTTGGTATCATCAGAATGAAACTCCACTGTATTGTACTTTATGTTTTAGAATGGCTGGTCAAGGGATGTTAAAGGTTAAATATATGTCAGCTAAATTACCCTGTCATCTTAAATGTTGCAAAGAAAGAAGAACCTTCATTTTTAAAGTGCCTTATCATGTAAAATCATCTCACTTCACGACAAAATACTATCAACAGTAGTGACTGCTTTTTGAAGTCAGCCAATTTGCACACAGCGAGATCCCACAAACAGTCATGATATGGAGGACCAATTTTTCTGGATGATTGTTGGCCAGCCACCCAGGGACGTTGTTATCACGTTGTTGAGACGTCTCGAAGAGCTTCACAGAATACACTGTAAAGTGAATTGACTGTAGAGTCCTATAGCGGTTAGAGCACTCGCCTCACAAGCGAGAGGACCTGGGTTTGATTCTCGGCAGGGCAAAACATTGGGCAAGTTTCCTTCCTCCGCAAGCCTGTTTACCTAGCATTAAATAGGAATGGGTTGTTAGTCGATTGGTGGATCGCTTTTCCGAGGATAATAATCCCACCAACAAAAAAATAATACAAATTTGCGGGACACTGCTACGCTCAAATGGCTGCTGTGTTTCGCCCACAAAATATAGTCAATTCACCTTACAGTATCTTTTATGAAATGCTTTGAGACTTCTTGAAGACACGATAAGGCGCTATATCAAATGCTGGGATTATTATTACAATTATTCTGTATTTTGTGGGCGAAACGTGGCAGCCAATTGCGATACGCTACAATTACGACATGCCGTAAGCTTGACAACTGTTGTTCAGAGGCAGTCTGGAAACACACATTTTGCATTAAACTGCCCCTGGTATGATGTTGACTTGCATTTCCACTCCAGTTACCCCCACAATCGGTCAAGTGCCCCCCCCCCCACGTCAGGCTACCATCTGCAGGAGCCCAGTGAACCCCAACTGGCCTGAACCCTGGAGTGGAAGCCAGCAGAGAGAGAGAGCAAGAAACCAGGCAGATTTATTTCGAAACTGCATCTATAAAGATCGCGGGCAACGATCATACGTGACAATTACGGGTGACATTTGCGCACGGAAACATCTGTTGAATTTCTGTTTACATTTGGAGCCAAATCACGTTGCGCGAGGGTTTTGCAGCCGCTATTGGTGGAGGTTTAAATGCCCTCCTTAAAGGAGGAGCAGCCGGGGATGGGGAGGTGACTGCAGAGAGGGAGGGAGGGAGAGTGGGTGGGGAGTAAGGGAGGGGGTGGGGTGGGGGGAGCTTTGCAGTTTGCAGTTTGCAATTGGAACAGATTAAAAAAGAGTAAATGTACATTTTGTTTTTGCAGATCGGAGGGGGAGGTTTGGGATGCAATGTGGCTGAGTCACAGCGAGGAGTGGGGTGGGAGCCCAGTGTGTGTTGGTGGGTGTGTGTGAGGGGGGGTGTGTTCATTCACCTGTGGTGACAGAGCAGAGCAGCGCAGAGCGCAAACACACACACACATATACACACACACACACACATGCGCATTTTGGTGCCTTTCCCCCCTGTTAAAAGTGTTGGCGCCGGCGCCAGCTGAGAGCTCACTGATCTGCTCTGCTGCCGGGTAAGGACACACACACACACTGCACATACCCCCACACACACACACACACACTGCACATACCCCCCCACACACTGCACACACTGCACATACCCCCCCACACACACACACTACACACACACTAACCCCCCATTGCAATGCGAGGAGTGAAGAAGCTGCAGCGGTTTTAAACGCAGACGCAGTGCTGTTAACAGGTCAGTTGGAGCCCAGAGAGAGGGACACTCGCTGCGCCCCTGTAACTCCTGGGGCGGGAGCGTGTGGATGGGGTCAGTGCAGACCCTGTGGGTGGGTGAGTGGGTGGGTGGGTGGGTGGGGGGTTATTTTGCAGGAGGGAGGGCACCCCCTCCCTGTGTGAAGGTTATTTCGAGCGGGAGGACAGCTATTTGCCCTCCACACACACACACACACACACATTTTGGAGGGGGATCAGGCCATAGGGGGGAGAGAGGGAGAGAGGAAAGAAAGTCTGTATTTTCTTTGTGGCGGATGGTGATCCCCAGTGAGTGGCTTTGGCGGCTGGGGAGGGGGGAGGGGGGGAGGGGGGAGGGGGGGGAGAAGTCAGACAGTGTCCAATCCAGGCTTTACCCGCTCTGTGTAAATTGGCGCGGAACCGAACCGGGAGATAAAATAACTTGAAACATGGATCAAACGGTGGCTTGGGATCTGGGACTGGGCAACACCAGCACCGACCCCGGGGCTGCACACACACACACACACACACACACACACACAGGCGTCCAGCAGCCCATCGGGGTTTTTCCCACTAAAAATGCATTAGATGCAATTGAGGTGGAGCAGATCTGCGCCCATTGCCTCTCTCCCCCCAACACCCCTCTCTCCCCCTCCAACACCCCTCTCTCCCCCTCCAACACCCCTCTCCCCCCCTCCAACACCCTTCTCCCCCCCCTCCAACACCCCTCTCCCCCCCCCCAACACCCCTCTCCCCCCCTCCAACACCCCTCTCCCCCCCTCCAACACCCCTCTCCCCCCCTCCAACACCCCTCTCTCCCCCTCCAACACCCCTCTCTCCCCCTCCAACACCCCTCTCTCCCCTCCAACACCCTCCCCCCCTCCAACACCCCTCTCTCCCCCTCCAACACCCCTCTCTCCCCCTCCAACACCCCTCTCTCCCCCTCCAACACCCTCTCTCACCCTCCAACACCCCTCTCCCCCCCTCCAACACCCCTCTCCCCCCTCCAACACCCCTCTCCCCCCTCCAACACCCCTCTCCCCCCCTCCAACACCCCTCTCACCCCCAACACCCCTCTCCCCCCCACACACACCACATCAGCTCAGGGACTGCACATCCAACTGGTTATTCAAACCCTTTTTTTTATTATTTTCACCACTATCCTAAACACCGAGATCCAAGGCTGGTGTTTATCCAGGAATGGCGAGAAGTCAGTGTCGTGTGGCTTTTTGCTGAACTTGTGCCTTGTTTTTTTTTCAAAGAGAAAAAGACCTCTCGGTGCAGTTCGTGTAAATGCTTTTTTTTTATCGTTTATATTTTAAGGACCACATAGATCGGCGAAGAGGATGTCGAGGCGCAGGTGAGAAAACGTTATTAACTAAATCTTTATTCTGTTTTCCAGTCTCGTCTCCCCCCCCCCCCCCCCAAAAAAAAAAAGAAATATATATATATATATGCACTTTTGCATCAATTATTATTTCAGCCCTAACTTTTCAAACTCTTATTTATTAATTAGTGGCCGTTTGCAAGCAAAGCAGAGCAAGCCAGAGGATCAAAAGGATGACTTTGGAGAGATGAGAAAAAGAAAGGGTGAAGTGAGTGCAGTCACCCTCGTTGGTTTTAGTTTGGGTAGAGTTAGTGGCCTGGGCTGCAATGACAACTGGTGTGCTTTCCCTCCTTTTTAGGAATGTCCTCAAAATGACCATGAAATGGAACTGAACAAGAGAAGACGACAGTTCCAGATAAAGGTAGTGAATTATTAGACGTAGGAGTAATATGCTCCAGTGGGATCCAACCACTTTATTGCAATGTTAAACGTGTGTGTGTGTGTGTGTGTGTGTAGATGTGTCTCTGCATGTGTGTGCACTGTATATATAAGGGAGAGAATTATGTTGGCTGACTGGGCAATGAGAACTGTCCAGTTCAGAGCACACATTTATTTATACACTGTATAATGTGGTTATAATATCAGCCTGTAGTTTAGTTATTATTTTGTTGCTTTTTTTAAATATACTGGCCTCTGCAAGAGATCATGCAACTTGAAAGATATATGGTGTATTGACGTGAATGGAGTGTTACATTTAATAATAATAATAATAATAATAATTAGAGGGGATAGCGTTTACAATGAAGTGCTGGCTGGATTGCTGTGTATATGTGAGTGGGGTGGGGGTGGTGGGGGGTGGGGGGGGGGGTAGAGAGATCATAGCTGGAGCTGATAATATTTTGCTCCATTACAACAGTGTAATATTGTGTGCTGCAAGCTGATGGCAAAGCAAAGCCACGGTTCAGGGCTGGGGGAGTGGGGGCTTTGCTGGTCTGCTGGTCAGTTGAGTGGAGAGAGGGAGAGGGAGTTGTGGATGAGTCGAGCCTTTTGGCTGCAGTGCAGAGTTTGGGCGCTGAAGCCGGTTCCTGGTTCTTGTGGGAGGTCCTTTGGTTCCTGGCGCTCCCGCCTTGCAGAGGCTCAAGTATCTGTGGACTTGTTCTTTTATTGCAAATCGTCAGCGGAAACACCCCCCAAAAAAAAAAGCATGAGATGCAAAAAAAAATCTATAATGCCAGGCAATTATATACACATATATATCTTTAAAAAAAAATAGCCTAAATGCCCCAAAAGCAGGGTATTAAAGCCCACTTCCTAGTAGATTGCAGTGAGCAACCAGGTTGATTTCACTGGGGTTTGGGCGCTGGATCAGGGTTTCCCCACATTAAACGCTCTGCAAACCTACAGCACATCTTTTTTTTAAAAAAAAATAAATCCGAATATTCGTCTCATTGAACAACTCAAGACGTGGCTTTTTGCAGAGATCGCTGTTGTTTGACTTGCCTGTCCGGCCCCGCAGATCGGCTTTGGCCACCCAGCAGAGCTTGCAAAAAAAAACACTAATGCTATATTCCTTGCACAAGTGCAATCCGTGTGCTGACTGCTCAAGATCGCCAGATCGGGGCTTGAAATGCCTAGAAATACGTGTTAAATTAAGACGGAAATGAGTAAACGCGGGAACTTTTCCCTCGCAAACTTCTTTTAAAAAGAGCAGAGTGGAATCTGGCTGATCAGCAACTGAAATACTGCCCCACAGCCCTGCCCCGGAGCCCAGCCCAGCCCAGCCCTGCACAGCCCAGCACAGCCCAGCCCAGCCCTGCACAGCCCAGCACAGCCCAGCCCAGCCCTGCCCCGGAGCCCAGCCCAGCCCTGCACAGCCCAGCACAGCCCAGCCCTGCACAGCCCAGCCCAGCCCTGCACAGCCCAGCCCAGCACAGCCCTGCCCCAGAGCACAGCCCAGCACAGCCACAGCCCAGCCCAGCCCTGCACAGCACAGCCCAGCACAGCCCTGCCCCAGAGCCCAGCCCTGCACAGCACAGCCCAGCACAGCCCTGACCCAGAGCCCAGCCCTGCACAGCCCAGCCCAGCACAGCCCTGCCCTGCCCCGGAGCCCAGCCCAGCCCTGCCCAGCACAGCACAGCCCAGCCCAGCCCAGCACAGCCCTGCCCCGGAGCCCAGCCCTGCACAGCCCAGCCCTGCACAGCCCAGCACAGCACAGCACAGCCCTGCCCCAGAGCCCTGCACAGCACAGCCCTGCCCCAGAGCCCTGCACAGCACAGCCCCAGAGCCCAGCACAGCACTGACCCAGAGCCCTGCACAGCCCAGCACAGCCCTGACCCAGAGCCCAGCCCTGCACAGCACAGCCCTGCCCCAGAGCCCAGCACAGCCCTGACCCAGCCCCAGCCCTGCACAGCCCCAGCCCTGCACAGCCCTGCCCCAGAGCACAGCCCAGCACAGCCACAGCCCTGCACAGCACAGCACAGCCCTGCCCCAGAGCCCAGCACAGCCCCAGCCCTGCACAGCCCAGCACAGCCCTGCCCCAGAGCCCAGCACAGCCCCAGCCCTGCACAGCACAGCCCTGCCCCAGAGCCCAGCACAGCCCAGCACAGCACAGCCCTGCCCAGAGCCCAGCACAGCCCAGCACAGCCCCAGCCCTGCACAGCCCAGCACAGCCCTGCCCAGAGCCCAGCACAGCCCCAGCCCTGCACAGCACAGCCCTGCCCCAGAGCCCAGCACAGCCCCAGCCCTGCACAGCACAGCCCTGCCCCAGAGCCCAGCACAGCCCAGCACAGCACAGCCCTGCCCCAGAGCCCAGCACAGCCCAGCACAGCCCCAGCCCTGCACAGCCCAGCACAGCCCTGCCCCAGAGCCCAGCACAGCCCCAGCCCTGCACAGCACAGCCCTGCCCCAGAGCCCAGCACAGCCCCAGCCCTGCACAGCCCAGCACAGCACAGCCCTGCCCCAGAGCCCAGCACAGCCCTGCCCCAGAGCCCAGCACAGCCCTGCCCAGCCCTGCAGAGCCCAGCACAGGCCTGACCCAGAGCCCAGCCCTGCACAGCCCCAGCCCTGCACAGCCCCAGCCCTGCACAGCCCTGCACAGCCCAGCCCTGCACAGCCCAGCACAGCCCTGACCCAGAGCCCAGCCCAGCACAGGCAAACCCCTACCCTGGGGCAAGCCTCCAGACAGACCTTTTCTGGTCTAACTTCACTGGAGAGCTGGTGATGAAGAGACATTTGACTCCCCTCAGACTGTTGCACTGTTGTGTTATTGCTTGGTGTGTTTATATGGTCCCAGCTCTCAGGGCTGGCTGCTGGCTCTCTGCTGGGCTTTCTACTGTTCAAACAGCTCTGAGGCCTGAGCCACTTGCCTCGCACTGGGCTGGGGCTGGGCTGAATGTTGTTATGTTCATGCAGAAACAGTTTAGCTGAGTTTTATTCGTGGGGAATGTTGCGATTTCACGTTCCTGTTAATTATGGGGCAAAATGTAATGAATGAACCCGCTGTATTGTTGCCCTTAAACTTTGACATAATTGTATATTCCACTCACAGACCTGCAGAGGGAGCTTGTGTAGTTTGACAGATGATCCTGGTGGGGCAGTGACCTGAGTCTGTCTGTCTCTGTGTGTGTGTGTGTGTGTCTGTCTGTCTGTGTGTCTATGTATGTGTGTATCAGTGTGTATGCCTTTTCCTTTAACTCCTAGTTTATTAAAACCTAGTGAGTCTAAGATTATTTTTTAAGCGCCTTTGTTTTCAATGCTTTGCCATTGTCTGGTGATAACTCTGTACTTATTGCTCTTGGTCTCAATTCAGGTGTTTGTGCCTTGACCCATGCTGTTTTTCTTTTGCCCTTTGATAGAATTGCTGGGCTCCCATAGTGCCTGGAGGAGTGAGTCCTTGCACCCTCATCCCCACGCCGCACAAAGAGACCGAGGTCATTGAAGACTATTCCGGGTTCACACAATACAGGTTTAAAAACCTGTTCATAGCCAAGTCACCACTGCCAGCCCTCAGGTAATAATAATAATAATAATCCTTGCATTTGATATAGCGCTTTTCACGTCGGGAGGACGTCCCAAAGCGCTTCACAGAACACACTGTAAAGTGAATTGACTGTATATTTGTGGGCGAACGTAAATACTATAGTTGAAGCAGAGACATTCAGTTTATTTTAAGAAGGAAAATTGTTGTTCAAGAAAGAGGAAGGTGAAAGGGTATGGGCAGCCACTAGGAGAGAGGGATTAGATAAGGAGACTCAAGTGGAGAAATTTCAACATCAGCGTAGGCCTTGCTGGGCCGAATGGCCTGTTTCTGTGCTGTAACGTTCTGTGATGATTGTAACCCAATGCACTGCTTGTGCTGAGTTGGATGTGATACCTGAGTGTCCAGCCAATGACTCAGATGGTGAAGGCGGGCAAATGATTAATGTGCGCAAGTAAAATGTGATGACTTGCTTATTGTGTGTGATTCAACACATTTTATTGCAGGGTGGTAGCCTGTAGGCTTTCACCCACGACTTTGCGTAGAGATGCCAAGTACTTGGCCAGAGAGTGAGAAATGACTGAACACCTTGCCTGAGATGGAGGTCGCGGACCACTTTGGAGCTGATAAGAGTGGCATTTTCAAATGGAGGGGGCATATGTTCAGGTGGAAGATAGAACAATGCACAAGTTCTTATTTTCAAGATGCTTGACTCCCTCCCCCCAACTCCCTTCCACAGAAACTAGTCACTTTTCGTTACTCCGCCTACTAATGCCAAACCTTAAGGCAAATCAGAGTACTCTGCCCTGAGATCAGTAACTCAGTATATACCGGGATTAAATCTGGAATCTTGTCAGTCTGCATGGCTCAGCTATCGCACTGAGTAAAATTGCTGAGCAATCTGGGGGGGGGGGAAGTTCCTTTAAAAGTTTCTTCCGACTTGAAAACTCGCAGGATTAGGGAAATCTAGCTGGGGAAAAAAATCTGACCTAATTGTTTCTATTTATACTGAATGATCTGCTGGTGTTATTTCCCCTCTACAGTATTAAGTTGTTCTCAAACAATGTGCACTTCTCTTTCTCAAAAATCCGTCATCTCGCCAGTGCAGTTGCTGTAAACAGCTGATCTGCTCAATCTTATCTCCCATCTGTCCCATGAGTCAGGAATTCTGCTCACCACCCATGTGCAATTCCTCATGGGAAGTGTTATATAGGTGACCAGCAGATTTGGGGAGGACAATTGTCTATGCTGAGAATATTGGTGCTACGAAACAGAACATCTCTGGGCCTGCCTGAAGCATAGTATTTGCCAGATGCAGGGTAAAGCTCCTTCTGTTCAGTTGAATGACATGCCTTATCTCCAGCCTCAGAACAGAACACTCCTATTGCACCAGTGTTGCATTTCTAACACCAGCTGCAGCTGTGCTTTTGAGCAGTCCGAGCTTGTTGATTTAATGCTCATTCGCCAGCAGTTTTGTTTTGTGGATGTGTGCAAGCTGGAACACGGTTAATAATGGTCCTAACATTTTGCACAGACCCCCTGCAGCCAGAACCGACCACTGTCCCAGAGCAGATACTCAGCCAGCCAGCGAAGCCTGAATTAGCGCCGAGGTCATAATAACTAATGTTCAGCATTGTAACGAGACGTCGCAATGCAGTTCACAGAATTTTAAAATGAGTGTAGTGACTGTGTTCAGCAAGCAGACAGGACCGGGGTTAAACGTCCCATCCAAAGGACAGCACCTGTGACAATGTGGGCACTTTGACACATGTGTGCACAGCAAAGCAGGAAGTGCCTCCCATGACCTGCTGACCTATAGTCAGCCATTTTACTGTGAATGGAGACTGGCACATGGAAGTGAGTAGTAGGTGACACTCTTGCTTCTGTTCTAGAAGGTTGTAGGTTCAAGCCTCACATCAATACTTAGTCTGACACTTCGTGTTGAACTGGGGAGCGTATAAGTATATAGCAATAAAATTGCAAGTTCTTTGCACTTCAGGGAAAGTGTAGATAGGAAAAGAGACAGCTTGCTGTACCTGCTTTTTTCAAGCTGAAATTTCACTTTATTTTCTATATGAATAGCTGGGGAAACTCTGAAGCTGTATGGACAAATATGCTGAAGAAAGAAACCAAGTATACTCATAACAAAAATGTTCTATCGCTACACCCTTCCCTGCAACCAAAAATGAGGGCAATTCTGCTGGACTGGCTCATAGAGGTGAGGTACCCTTGTGATCCTTTGTGTCTTGCCATGTGTGGATATTACTGTGCGCTTGCTCTCTAATTCCTTAGGCTTTTTGCTGGTAAACTGCAAAGTGTGAGGAGTCCCAGTCTTAAAAAAAATTCTGGGATAACCATTAGTGTGTGGCTGCTCTCAGCTGTACTTTCCAAGCAGCCAAAAGCTTGCATCAGCGCTGAGAAAAGTAATATACAGAATTTGCTTCCCTCCAAAAGCTAAGGAAAATTATAATGCCTTAACTGATTCCCTGACTGAAATGAAGGATTACAGCACAGACGTAGATTCCCTGTTAAGGAGACGGAATAAAAGATTGCGATATGTAGCAATCAGCAACAGTGTTTCATAATCTGATTTGTCAACCTTCATGGTTCTGTCCTCGACTGGTTCAGATCGTAGCTCTCACACCGCCTCCACTTCATCTCCACAAACGGCTTCTCCTCCAGCCCCCGCACCGTCTTGTGCGGTGTTCCTCACGGAGCCCCCTTCCCTTCACTATCTTTATGCTCCCTCTTCGTGACATCATCCGCAAACATGGGGTCAACTTCCACATGTATGTGGATGACACCCAACTCTACCTCTCTGCTTCCACCCTCGACTCCAGGACCACTGCTGTGCTGACAGACTGCCTGTCAGACATTAAGGTCTGGATGAGAGCTTCAGTTGAATGTCAACAGGACTGAGGCTCTCTTGATTGGCTCCCGTCAGCCCCTCCACACCTCAGGCGCTATCAACATCACCATCCAAGAATGAACGCTCTTAACTCACTGAACCAGTTGGGAACCTTGGCATCTTGTTTGTCTCTCAACTATCCTTTCTACCCCACATCGGTGCAATGACCAGCTCTGCCTTCCCCCACCTCCGCAACATTGCCCGACTCCGCCACTGTCTCACACTACAGGCCACCGAAACCCTCATACACGCATTCATAGGATTGAGGCTTGACTGTGCAAACTCCCTGCTTGTCGGCCTCCCCAGCTCCTCCCTCCATAGGCTGCAGTTCATCCAAACTCTGCAGCCCATGACCTCTCCCGCACCAGTCTTCGTGACCCTATCACCCCCATCCTCGCCCGACTCCACTGGCTTCCCATCACACAGAAGATACAGTTCCTCACCTTCAAAGCCCTCCATGGTCCTGCTACCCCCTACCTCTGCGACCTTTTAACACCCTACCATCCTGCCTGCTCCCTCAGCTTAGAGGGCTCCGTCCTGCTTCACGTCCCCCGCCTCGCCCACCCCACCATTGGTGGACAGGCCTTCAGCCACTCTGCCCCCACCCTCTGGAACTCCATCCCGCATTCCCTCCGCCTCGCCCCCTCCCTTGTCTCCTTCAAGACTCATCTCAAGACCTCCTCTTTGACCGTGCTTTCGATCACCCTCATTCCCACCCCCTGCCTTCCAACCTCCCCGATCTCAACCCACACCTCGGGTCCGAAACTCTGATTGTCCAGCACCTTGGGATGTCTTCCCGACATGAAAGGCGCTGTACAAATGTCATTTTGTTGTTGTTCTAGAGAATGTTTCCAACGCACTTCCAAATTAAAACTGAATTGGGAAAATGTTCAACAATTTGACTCTTCTAAGTTTTAGGACCAAATGATCTTGCAGGCCAAGTCTACATGGGATTTGGGGACTAAGGTGGTTTTATATAGTAGGAATGGTATTGCCTCAATGTTTTTTATTATAAAAATATTTTAATTCTACTTGTCTGACAATGATGAGCAAGATGCACTCTAATGTTTGCCTACAAATTGACTTTCAGGTTTGTGAAGTGTACACTCTGCATAGAGAAACCTTCTACCTGGCTCAGGATTTCTTTGATCGATTCATGTTTACACAAGAGAATATTCATAAAAGCAAGCTGCAGCTCATAGGCATCACCTCACTTTTCATTGCTGCAAAGCTAGAGGTAAGCAAACAATACCAAGCACAGAATCTTGGAACTGCACTGTAACTTGAGCCAAGTGAGCTTAGAAGATGCTTCCTCACGCACAATGAGAATGGATTGCCCAGAAGGCCATAGAGGCAGGAACAGATGGGGTGTTTGAAAAGGGAGACATATAAATAATAGAAACATAATGTATGTTACTTCACAAGTATTTTCATAATAATCTCTGGAACACCATCCCAGAATCCCTCCTCTTCGCTCCCTCCCTCGCCTCCTTCAAGGCCTGTCTGAAGACTTTCCTCTTTGCCGTGCTTTCAGCCATCCTCCCACCCCTCTACCCTTCCCCCCCTCTTGATTCTATCCCTCAACTCGGGTGCAGACCTTTAACTATCCAGCGCCCTGGGACATCCTTCCAACATGAAAGGTGCTATATAAATGTATATTTTTTTGTTATATGGGGAAATTAGATTTATCATGATCTAATAAACTGGTAGATTAGTCTCAATACTGACCGGCCTCCTCTTTGTTTTTAAACATTAAAATACTGGAACAGTAGAGAGGTCAAGAGCTTACTTAATTCTGGAGTGCATTAGGCACAGGTTCGCAGGAGCCAAAGGCTTGGGGATCCCAGAGTGTGTTGGGTACCAGCTAAAGTACACATAGCTTCCTGTTGAGAGCACTGGAATGGCAGAATATCTTACTTGATTTTGATTACCTTGTAAATTATTTCACTTTGCTAAGTTGTTGATGTAATGATTCTCATGGATTTTGTTTGAAAAAATCTTTTGAACTTTATTTTGAAATCCACTTTTTTTGCAGGAAATCTATCCTCCCAAACTGCATGAGTTTGCATATGTCACAGATGGTGCCTGTACAGAGGATGAAATCCTTGATATGGAACTCCTAATTCTAAAGGTAACCACTGAAAATGTTTCCTGTGAGTTATGAACACTTTTTTTGAAAATATATATTTACTTATAAATCTATTAGGTACAACAGAAATCCCAAACCAACACAACGTACATCTTCTGATACAATTTTTTCCCCTTTCTCCCGATACAAAAAACATTCCATTGTTTACAGTACATTCCTTCATCGCACACAGTTTGTGCCCAAGTTTTTTTGGGACACTCCCTTTAAAACAGTCGGGAGTCCCCCCTACGTACATCAAATCCATGTGCGCGCCCGCACACACCCTAATGCTCACTTGCCGCTTTCGGAAGGTGCCTGATGTGCACCGTACACACACGTGTTTACCGTACATACATTTTCGGGACACTCTGGTTACATCTCGAGTGTCCTTCTGTGCCCTCATGTTTATTTCAGTCAGCGGGTCCCGAGTCACGAACCGTGAGAGAATCCATTCTGTCTTTTTCCAAACTGCCTTTGCCAAACAACACGCCAGGAAGAGGTGGTCCACGGTCTCCGGGCCTCTGCAACCGTCCCGAGGGCAAAGTGTTGACTGGCCCAGACCTCGACCGTGTATGAAAGTCATGAGGGGGCCCATTAATCACCAGCCAGGCCATGTCTTAATGGTTGTTGGTCAGGGCCGGTGACGAGGCATTTTGCCAGACGTAGTTCCCGATCGGATCTACCCTTTCCCCCTTTCGAACTGTTTCGATTACCTGTCGCGCGGACCACTCTTTGATTGCGCGAGGGTCTGGGATGGTGTTCCTCAGGAAGTTCTCAATATAGGATAGGTGGTTTGGCACGCTCCAACTGTGTGGAATGTTTCGAGGCAGTTCTGCCAGACCCACACTTCTCAGCACTGGGTACAGGTGGAAACCCAACATGTAGTGGCATTTGTTGCTGGCGTAGCAGGGCTCCAGGCACAGCCTCTGGCAGCTACACACAAAGGTGGCCATGAGGATCAGGACAACGTTAGTAACCCCTTTTCCCCCCCCTTTTCTGGGGATTTGTGCATCGTGTCTCTGCGGACACAATCCATCTTGCGAGGCAAGTGCTCTAACCACTGAGCTGCAGGACTCCACAATAAAGATGTTTATAAAGATGCTCAATGATTTGTTGTACTTGAGATTTCCATTCCTATTCAGTTAAATTGTGTTTCTTTTAAAAGGCATTAAATTGGGAGCTGTATCCAGTGACTGTTATCTCCTGGTTGAACCTTTACCTTCAAGTGATCTGTCGAAAGGAACACTGTAACATGCTGCTGCCTCAATATTCTCAGGATACTTTTGTACAGATAGCTCAGGTACTGTGGTACATGTTACCTATTGCACAACTACGGTTAGATTGCTTCTCCCTTCAGGCCCCAGCACTTACTGGTGTTATAATAATAATAATCTTTGCATTTCTTATATGTAAACCATATAGCAATGCCAAACCATCGTGCCGAGGTTAGACCTGCATTGCCTCCCAGTATCTCAGGATCTATGTCAGAATCTTTAAATGCCATTGACTCTCTCTCTTTCCACATCTTCACTAACTCTATATTTCAGTCCTTGCCCTCCATTCTTCTGAATGGTTTTTAATGCTTGCTGATCAAGCTCTTCATTTCACTTCAATGGCTGAGCTTTCAGCCTCCCTGCCCTTGTCCTCTGGAACTCTTCTCCAAAAACCTCTTTGCTTTGCCACCTCTCTCCCTGCCAGCAAAAAGCTACTAAAAACATGATTTCTTTGATCGTCTTTTGGTGAGTGTCTTTGAATCTGTTATTTCCCTGCTCAGTGTCCATCGCGTTGGTCAGTCTGTTTGAGGTGGGCCTATATGTGATAGACACGGGTGTATGTAGAGGCAAGTTCCTTTAAATACTCGTCAAAAACCAAGTTAGAAAACCTGTTGATCCACTGCCACGTTTGATGAAGTTGAGATGTTGTAAGTAATTGTGTAATTACATGATCAAAATTTATAAATCTGGTGCTCATGATGTTTTGGTCTTTCCTCGTGCCCAGCTTTTAGATCTATGTATCCTTGACGTTGAAAGCTTGAGTTTCTCGTATAGTGTGTTGACTGCTGCTGCTCTCTGCTACCACACGTCTGATGGAGATGTTGTTAAAGCTTCAGGTAAGAAGATTATAAATTGGCTGAAGGCTAGAAATCAGTTGTTTTCCCAAATCAGGGTGAATGATATTAACAATGAGGAGTATTGTGTCCTAAGCTCCACTGAAGTCCCAGTGGGTAAAGGAGCCACTTAGTGCAGCACCAGGCAAGGTTGCTGATTTGAATCCCAGTGTGTGCCGCTGTGCTCTCCAACAGGGCAGCAGTCAGAGCACCTACAGTTAGCCTCAATGCCCCTGGATTGGGATGGATAATTAGCCTAATAATAATCCTTGCATTTGAGAAAGCACCTTATCATGTCGCTGATATGTCTCAAAGCGCTTCACATGATATACTGTCAACTTGAGCAGATGGGACCTCGGTTTAACGTTTCATCTGAAGGATGGATACAAGTCTATCTAGAGCAGTGGTCGCCAACTTCTTTGGTCGACAAAAGAAAATGTTTCTTGAATGGATCTTTCTTGATTTAAAGCATTAATCTATGCTATTTTGTTTTTTCAGTGATTATTTGGGGGCTCATTTGTGTGAATGCTGGTCAGGACAGAACAAGGTGTATGGTTAGATAGATTGATTAACACTTGCTGTGATAATAAATATCAAAACTTACAAATTTGCCAAACGGCCAACTGTGATTTTGACGAGCAAGCAGCCTGATGGGAGTGTCTTGAGATTCACAAAGAAAGAATGTGCAATTTACGCTTCAAATTTCATTTGCAAATATTTCAAATGACTCCCCGAATAAGTCTACAAATTTAATTAAAAAAAGTATATTCGTCCTTTAAACCCTTCAATAACACTTGGTGTGGAGTTGTGATTAGGAAAAAAAAAAAAAATTTTTGGTCATTCAATCCATGACTTTGTGTGCAATTGGCTGCCGCATTAATTCACTTTACAGTGTAATCTGTGAAGCGCTTAGAGACGTTTCGAAGACGTGATAAGGCACTATATCAAATGCAAGGATTATTATTATGCATTAGTGTTTTAACTTGCTACGTTGCAACCATGGGTTATGATTTATTTTTTTCTTTCTCTAAATGCTCTGTTCTGCCTGCTGTGATCGGCTTTCAGGTCTACAGTGGGATTGTGTTTCCACGTGTTACAATTGGATGAGCCCATTTGCCAAGACACTGAGTGAAGGAGATCAAATAAAAGTAAAGGATTTCAGACAAGTTACAGATGAAGACAGACACAACATACAGACGCACACAAACTACCTTGGGCTGCTGGTGAGGTTTTAACTATGCCACTAAAGTGGTGTTTGATCTCGAAGAGGAAAATGGCACATATTTGTGATTAGCTCCTCACTGAGGAAATCTATTCTGGGCTCTTGCCAGCAAATGGAAGTAAATTGCACTAACTTGTGGGAACTACAATCTGAAAGTAGATCCTGTCAGAGCAGAGATCCTGTGAGTTGATGAGATGGCTTTGGGTTTAAAGAATCCATTAGAAACCATTGCATCGCTATACCGCCAACTGTGGCTCGAGCATCTTCATGCTTACTGCCACTCCCTCTCTCAAGCCTAAAACGCTTTTGACTCAGGTCATTCCAAAGGCACAAAACAATCCCCAAATCCTGTTCTCCAACACCCATCACCTCCTCCATGCCCCTCTCAAATACCCTTGATGCTCACTTATGATGCCAAGTGCGAAGAGGTCCTGGACTTCTTTATCTCTAAGATAGAGACCACATCCGCCTGGCTGCCTCCTCCTTCACCCGCTCCTTCCATGCCTCCTTCACCACCCTCTCCTCCTACCACAGTCCCCACCTTACACTCCTTTGGCCCCATCTCTCCCTCCTCCCTCCCCCCCACGCCCCGCCATCTACCCAAATGAAGCCCACCACCTACTACCTCGACCCCCTCCACCCAGCTCCTGGTCAATCAATTCCCCCACCTCTGCCCATTGCTGGCTGACACAATCAACTAGTCCCTCTCCCCATCAAAACCACTGTCATCACTCTTCTTAAAAAAAGCTACTCCCAATCCCTCCAACCTCACAAACTTCAGATCCATTTCACACCTGCCCTTCCTGGCCAACAATTTTGTAATGCGTGTTTGCAAATCAGCTTTGCTCACACCTCTCCCTCCACTCCCTACTCGAACCCACCCACACCAGTCTGGTTTCGGTCCTGCCCACAGCACAGCTCTCTCTCTTTGACCATGGCTCCCTCTGCCTCCTCGTTATCCTCGACCGTTCCGTCATGTTCGACACAATCGACCATTCCATCCTCCTCCTCCTCTCCTTCCTCATCCACCTTAGTGGGGCCGCACTCACATGGTTCAGGTCCTACTTAACCAACCGCCACCAATACATCTCAGCAAATGTTTTTTTCTGTCGCCCACGGGCTTCCCCAAGTTTCCATCTTTGGCCCCTTCTTTTCCTCATCTACATGCTCCCTCTCGGCGATGTCATCCACAGGTATGGGGTCAACTTCCACATCTATGCGGATGACACCCATATCCACTTCCAACAGCTGCGACTCCCAGTCAAGGCCTGGATGAGTGCAAATTTCCTGCAGCTGAATGTCGGCAAGACGGAAGCCATACTCTTTGGCTCCTGTCGACGTCTTCTCTCCTGTGGGTTCAAACTCGTCAAGCTCCCCGGGCTCTCCCTCAATCTCTCCGAACCCGTGCGAACTTGGGTTCGGTTTGATTCCCAGCTTTCCTCTCTACCCCACATCCATTCCGTGACCAGAACTGCTTTATCCCCACCTCCGCCACATTTCCTGCCTCTGTCCGTACATGACAACCAATGCAGCAGAAACCCTCGCCCATGCCTTCTCCCCCTGGCTCGGTGTCAGACTTGGCCACTGTCGAGCACTCCGGGACGCTATCCCACATGAAGGGTGCTATGCAAATGCAAGTTGTGGTTGTTGCATCCCAGATCTCATGATGGTGGTGGATCTTGTACAATTCACGTTGTTGTGCCCAGGATGAATTGCTGTTGCTAATAAATGATTTCTGTGCTTTCAGGATGAGGCCCACGTCAGGCAGGCGGAATGCACATCCAGGCTCTCCCCCTTATCCATAGGAGGAATTCTGACTCCACCTAAAAGCACTGAAAAACCATTACCTGGTTCGATGCATTAATGATGGAGATTTGCCAGGAGACAGAAGGGCAGTGAAGTGCAGAAAGTGCCAGACACCGTAGCATGGGTGGATCGACTGTGGAGTTTATTACAGTGACCATGTGGCAGCTCAACTGCCAGGAGAAACATCTGGAAAGTTAGCATACCAAAGTGATCATTTTAGGAAGAAAGTTGCAACAAAATGCATCTCATGTTTGGAAGGAGACCTGGGGGCCATTGAAGATCAGCTCTGCCAAGTTCTGTCTGAAGCAGATTGTGTTATATATAGTGTGTTTGGGGAAGGTTACATCTTTTTACAAGTCAGTGAGGTTTACTGATATGGCAGCTATTGTGTTTTGATACTGCACGTTTTGTAAGGCAACATATACCAACCACTCAAATACAGTGGAATATAAGAGGAAAAAGACATTCCTTGCTTTTATAATTCTTCCCTATTCTGTTTTTTTTTCTTTCACAATTTTACGCATTGGGAAGGCTGGTATGAAGATGATTTAATCAAAGGCTGCCCACAAAGCAAGGGGCGGTGAATGGGAATGAGCTGCGTTCAGCAGAAAGTTATAAGACTTTTGTCAAGATTTGTGGATGGGGAGAAGCTGTATAATTGGAACTTTCCGAAGTACAGCAAGATTGAAAGGTGGCATGTTCTCCATGTGCATTTTGTAATGGAGGAATCCTAAATTAAGCAACATCAGGTTTATTACTCTGGGTGAGTGTCCATCAGTTCTCGTTCACTTTCCCAGTTATGGAAGAATCCATTGTTCACTACTGTTACGAAGGTCCTCATTAATTGTGGATAGTTGACCGGAGGACCTCTGAATAAGCTGCAAGTCACTGCTGTGACAATACTACCACTTTGGATACTGACATGCCAATGATGGAACGCCTTATTGATATTCTGTCACTAAAATTAGTCAGCCCTTAAATATGTTTTGTGCTAATTTTCCTTGTACATTTTCACACTCCATGATTAACAGGAGATTCTGGCTCAGACTTTCTATCCAGGACACCATTAGGAGTATGTGTCTGTGGGAAAGGGGGAGAGATGGGCTGTGTGTGTAAAAGTGGCTGAATTTTTGTTTTGTTATTGATGCAGGGCTATAATAATTGATTAACCTGCACAAGTGGGCCAGAGGCAGGATTTAAACAAATAATTCCATTGCTTGTTCAAAAGGCCAAGAATTAAGTTTGTTTTAGGCTTTGGTTGTGTATTGTACAGTACTGAATTGTTATGGGGGACCTTGTAAGATGTATTTAGTATGAGACTTATTTTTTAAAAGTTTTTAAGAGATTGGTGCTTCACCCAACTGTATTAAACAAAACAATGGAAATCTCACCGCCAAAGAGGAAACCTATCCTACTTGTGAATTTAATGTATTACTGTAAATAGTCGTGTAAAAATGTACAGCAAATGCCGTGGCTACTGTTAGTTGATTTATTATCCAACAATAAAAATACAACAAAATATTTTGCAACATTCTCTTTAAAGTATGAACATTCAAAATGTTAATAACCTATCAGAGTTGGATGTCTTCACACATCCCCAAATATGTTTGATGGAATTCTGTGCTGTGATTTTTTTCCCTTTAAATTTGAAGATGTACTATTTTGCAGATGCACACCATAGGCAAACACTACAGATATCTAATGAATCACAAAAATATTGTTTCAAGAAACAAAATACACGCTGCAGTCAGTCCAACAGAATTTGCTACAAATCCTATTAAGAAATTATAAACAGCTGGTCCACTCATACTGTAATTGTTCATATATACATAAATCAAATTTAGCAAGTTTCTTGAACAGTACAACTGAATGTTCAGGCTCGCATGGTGGTGATGTGTTAAAAGTAAAGTTTGGCCATGGCTTGCAGGAATTTCTTTTTCCTTTTCTGAGCGGCTAGCTGTAAAACCTCTTCAGGATTACTGGAGTTCAGCTCAGACTGTCCAATTGCTTTGATCTGAGAAAGAGACAAGATTGCATGTTATCAAACTACAGACAGACAGAATAATAGTTCAGTGGCACATGGTACCTCTTATCAGCAATACAACATTTCTGTAAGAAAGATGTATTTTGTCACTGACCATTTAGACATACAAATTACACAGTTGCCAGCAATAGTGATACCCATGTTGTGTACCTCTGGGATGCTGTAGTGGAACATTCATTTATTGCCTGGCACACTGCATTTCTAAAGGCTTGATCCTTTCAGGCATATTCATTATTTAGTTCTGACGAAGGGTTGTGGACCTGAAACGTTGACTCACTTTCCTTTCTCCATAGATGCTGCCTGGCCTGCTGAGTGTTCCCAGCGACTTCTGTTTTTGTTTCATTATTTAGCTGCCCTTCACATTGCTCTGTCTGCTGCATTTTCGATCTAATGACTGTTTCCGGAGGCTCTTGTTTTTGGCATATCAATGGCCTCCACTCATCATTCAATCCTACTCATTCTTGCTTAGGATTCCATTCATTCCTTCAGATCACAAGAGCTCTGCAGAACCAATCATTTGATGTAAAGTACAGCCAACAGCTGATGTGTGTAACATCTGTGTCACTGAACTGGAGTCTCATTCACGCCCTAAACATGGAAATGTGGAGTCGTGTAGCTTAGTGGTCTTACAGATGGGAATCCTGTAGCTTAGTGGTTAGAGCACTCACTCCGAAAGCGAGAGACCTAGGTTCAATTCCCGGCAGGGCGAAATGTCGGGCAAGTTTCCTTACTCCAAAAGCCTCTGTTTACCCAGCAGTAAGTAGGAACCTGTTTGTTAGTCAATTGGCAGATTGCTTTTTCGGAGGTAATCCCTTCAAAATAATAATTGCTCACTCAATCCACAACTGTTTGTAGGTTACTGCTGTGCATAATTGACTGCTGCTTTTCGCCCACAAAATATAGTCAATTCACTTTACAGTATATTCTGTGAAGCACTTTGCAACGTCTCGAATATGTGATAAGGCGCTATATCAAATGAAAGTATTATTATTATTTTAAATGAAATTCTGGTTTCCTGGAATTTTTCTGGACTTTCTTAAAGGCTTTGCAAGATGAACCAACAAGTGCCACCTTTTACTTATAGATAGCTCCACATTTAGCTGTTGATACATTTGGCATCACTGCTGTCACCATTCAAATGGAATTTGTTCCATCACAAAAGCTGCCTCGAAGCTGAGATTCCTCCTATATTCCAAACACCTTTTGTCCTAAACTCTGCTCAACAAAGTTCACAATCATGCACATTCACTTCAATCCTGTCCCAAATCTGAGGCTCTTCTACAACTTGTACTCATCGACAGGATATTATTGGAGCAAAAACAAGCCTGACCCTTTCCTCATCACAAACTCAATTTATTTTTCAGTTGCAACCTCTTTGGAACATTACTTAGAAAATTGATGCTGCTCTGAAGCTACAAAATATACAACTCTTTCCTTTTTGCAATGGTTTTAGAGCATTTGAGGAGAAGGATGTCAAGGGGAGTACTTCAACCAATGATCTAGTGTATAAAGGCATTACTCAAGAGAAGGGCTACGTCATCTTCAGACTTACAGGTTTCATTACGAAACTAATAGGCCTGCCATGTCATGGATGGTCACTTGGGTGTTGATTTGCAAGGTTATCAGAAAGTAAGTGGATAGAAATCCTGAATCCAAACAACTTGTCATTAAATTCAACTGGTGAACTGGGCAAGATGATCAATCCACAATGTCCTTCCTTGGATTTGCTCTTGAATTACTGCAAGTTTCCCACAGAAAGCTGACTCAGCTCCAATCGCAATTCACAAGGCATGTAATTGCAAGGCAAATGCAAGCATTATTATTATGTATGCCATCTTAAAACCAATTCAATTCAGATTTGAAGAAAAGGCAGGGAAATGGAATTAACGGGAAATGCCATTGACTTGATGTGGAGTAGGCTCAATGGGCAGAATGAAAAATAGCAGTGCTTCCATAAAGAAATTGGGGCAGGGTAATTTTAACTTAAAAGCTGCACACACAAATATGGAAGATTGCCTTAGTAACATTTAATATTATTGTCTAAAAATGGAATAAACAAAGGCATGTTTTAAACTTACTGCGATCTGCCTCTTGTCAGTTTCTCCCCTTTTGTGATGGATATCTGTGAAATTGTCAAAGCCATTTTCTGTAAAATGAATACAAACATTCGAGAAATACTAGACTATGTGTAGTCTATTTTTGCCTTAGAACTGCAGCCAAACTGACAAATCCTGGGTTCACTCAGTCGTTTGGATAAGCCTTACAGAAAATTATCAATGCAAGTTAATGTAAGAAACACTTCAATTTTCACAAAAATTACACATTTAAAAGACTGATCTCATGTACAGAGGATGAGCTACAAGGAAGGACTAAAGAGATTAACCTGTACAATCTGGACAGACGGTGGTTGATGAAGGTCACATTGAGGAATATAAAATATTATATGAAGGATAGAATATTATGTTCTATTATTTCAGAATATTATTTCAAATTAAACATTTTTTTAAATAATTGAAATAAAGTAGTTTAAATAGTTTTAAAATTGATATTAGGAAGAACGTTACTCCAGAATGACAATTAGGAACAATCGGATATGTTTTGGGTAAAGTGGGGCAGCAGATAGATGAGTTTCAATGGCCAGAACACCTTTTGCTCTTACGCTGTAAAAATATCACCAATGTTGGGCTTGCTTAACATTGCTTCCAAATGTTATTTCATTATCAGTTGTCTCAATTCACATCAAATGTACTCCACCTTGAGTTCCATCAATATATTTTAGGGTTGCAGACTGGCTTTAACCATTAAAGACTTCACTTGTACGTCTTAACACACATATATATATATACACACACATACACACAGTCACACACACAGGGCAATGCCATTGCCATCGATCAACTAGGATTAAGAGCAAGCTTTGCAACAATGTAAACAGATTGAAAACATCTTTGCTTCCAAATGTTGAAACCAATCCATAGTTCAATAGTAGGCACTTAACCTGAAGTGGACAAGTTAACTTGTCTAATGTGGGATTGCTGATAAGTACCCCATGCTGTCAGCAGCCTCTTCCTACTGTGATGGGTAAAGCATGCCAATGGTGGATGTGGTTATATCTATGATGTGCCCGTGTCAATCATCACTCTTCAGATTAGTTAAGATATTGAGCTTTTGCAGCAGGTGTTTAAAAGTGAAATCTAACATTAGAAATCTCACGAAGAAAAATTTGGCTAGAGAACGAAGGTATAGAAAAAGGCAAACAAAGACTGGAGAATGTGAGAAAAGTGAAGAGAAAAATGGATGTTTAGCACACAGCATTAAAGTGCTTAAATCTTATTCCAGTTCAAATCTCTGGTTTATTGACATTGTTTAGGGCTGATATTAAGAGTGTAAAAGCTATTCTTGACATTTTCTGCTTTATCACTGCTCTCCTTTGTTTCAGACGTGCAGTTTTGCAACTGATATTTATAAAAGCAGCCAGAACAGAACTGTCATTTTTCTAGATTTTCAGTTAGTTTAGGATTAAACACTGTTCATGTCTGTTATCTGTCTATTATATTGCGAACACTGTTAATTTATAAGAGGTTTTTTTTTAACTGTAAGGAGGTACAATTGTAATTCTTAAGAGCACCTCAGCCAAATTAAACAGTTTTAACATGATTTTCACATCAGACAATAATCAGCTTCTGTTATGTGAACATCGTTCTTGAGACTGAGCTCTTCTTAAGCTGCAAATCCAGCTTTTGGAGAGTCTTTCAGCTACATATCAGAGCCTGGAAATCAATGAAGTTTGACTACAACATACTGTTGGGAAACAACAATCAAACTAGTTTACATGAATCATCTGTAAACTCTAATCCCAAACAGTCAGTATAAACATAGAGCAACCAAATAAATCCATAATTACGACTAATATACCATTAATCACTTCAAGCTTCTTTTTAAACTTGCACAACTTTATGAAGAAATAATAACCTTTCATGGAGACTTGTAACAGAAAGCACCTGGGTTTCACTCTGAAATGGGATGGCTTTAGGCAATTAAGTCCACATTTTTTAAAAAATGTATCATTAATATTTACAGAGGCCATCTATAGGCCTTCAAATGTTGAATGGGACAGAGAGTGGGGTTACAATAGGTCAGTGAAGGAAATAGCAGTTACTCTCTAGCTACCAGATAAACCACTCTGCAATTTAAGGTGTTTTCTGCAAGGGGATTGATCCCATGTGTGTCATGTTGACTTGTGAGATTTCAGCTCCAAGGTCTCCCTTTGTAACCTGGCTGTCTTGTGGACCTGTGTTTACCAGAGGTACCAGCTTTTGGCACAGACTGGTTGCTATCCTGTGTGGTAGTCTGACTGGCAGCCAAGCCTCAATACTCTAACAAATGTTTTGTTAAGAGTGTTTTGTCTTTAGTGCTAGAAGCGCTCAAAAGAGAGGTCATGGCTGACTAGGTAGCTTCATTGCGCGTGTGGGCAGGAAGCCACTGGTCGATGCCAGAAGCCATGTCAGCTGCAACCCAGCACTGAGACCAGTGGCTGTTTCCATCACAGATCTGTTATAACACAGGGGCTGGTTTTATCGATCCAAAACAAAGTGTTTTAATGGCGTGGTGCTGTACAAACCATTCACAAAATGTAAGTTGGAAAGTAAATATTTTGTGTAATCGCTATCAAGCTTCTCTATATAACAGCCAGCTACACTGTCTGGAATGCAAACTTGTAGCTGAAAGTTTACATAAAATAATTAATAAAATATGCAGTTATCTTCTGCTTTGTAAGACACACATGTGCACACACACACACATACTGCACATATATTATATATATGTATATACACACACACAAAAGAGAATAATGGAGCTGTAGATATAAAATGCCTAAAATCCATGTAGTCATAGATTCTGTTTTCTAATTCAATTTAAGAATTTTCTACAATTCGGTGCTTTATCTTTTATTTTACGACAGGCTACGACTAGGTGGAACTTTGCACTTCAGCTGACTCAATTGTCTCAATAGAATAATCACGCTGAAAGAATTGTAAAAGGATACGGGTTAAATATTCCAAAATAGTGATGTCCCAGATGTAGTCATAGTAGGAGTCCATTGCATCGTGACTGAAATAAAAAAGAAATCCAAACATGAAGTGAGTGATGGTCAAACTTTCTAACTGGTTAGATTTCCAGACTTTGGCAGAACCTTATTCATTCAAATCAGTGAATAAAACCTCATTGCTCCATTCAGTCAATCACGGGGACGGTGACAGCAGCAGCATCATCATCACTGTGGTACGCACATCTGTGACCAGCTAGCTTCACCACATGTTCTGTAGTGGGCTCAGAGCTTGCTGGTGAGGCCAAGTGCGTCTCTCACAGGTTCCTGATAGGAGCCAAGCAATGGCAGTGGGAATCAACGTGGCCATAACATACGCAAGAATGTCATGACATTATTGTTTCTATCACATGTATAACTTCTAGGCTATCATCACACTGATTGGAGCTAAACTCACAACTATCAGATGTGGTGAAGTAGAACAGGAAATAGTCACAGTGTGTCACCATCACAGGCACTAAGTCACAAGGTTAGTCTTGGCTCGACATTGATACAATCCATGGGGGATCCTGTGTGCTGGACTAGGGCAGAAGAAAACTAACAAGGCAAGAAAAATGTTAGCACTTCAAATGTTAAGCCACCTCTGCCAGTGAACACGCCTATAATGAGATGCTGTGCTTTAGCGTAATGAATTGGGAGGGTTGAACAGTGTTTACAGCAATTATGCTGTGGTTTTCCCATTCAAATGATTTTTCAACATGATAAACTCTTTGAAAATCACTGGAGAATAATAAAGAATACCAACAACAACTCACATTTATATAGCGCCCTTCACTGGGGATAGAGTCTTGGAGCACTTACAAAAACCTTTGATATAGCATCTTTCACATTGGGAGGATGTATCGGGCAGTTTCTCTTGGTCTCATGGCCAACAATTGTCCAAATAAATTAGTCATTCACCTCCAGCCTGTGGGACACTGCAATAGCCTATACATTGTCACTTATAGTTTCTGCAAAGGGCTTTGAGACGTTTCAACACTGTGATAATACAAGGTTGTTATTAATATTATAATATAAGGTACCTGTTTTGCTCCTGTAAAGCTTTAAAGGCAGTCATGTAGTCAACCTCTCTGAGGAACTGGCACAGAATTGCCACCTGTTGAGAAAAGCTTTAAATATTTTACTGACATTTAAAACTACAATTTATTACTGTAGGTTTTTAAAACATTTACATTTAAAAAAAACTATGAAAGCAGAGTTAAGGTCAGAGTTGGAAGGAAAGGAAAAAGGAAGTGTTTAAATGCAGGGGAACAGGACACGAGTGCTCCAACATGTAGCTCAACAAGAGATGAGACCTGGGTGGCAATAATCCCTAATGCAGAGCATTCTCAGTTTCCAGACAAAGCATTTCTCCACATGGAAGAGTGAATTTCCCTGACAGGCATCTCACAAGTCAGCCACGTTTCGCCCACAAGATACAGTCAATTCACTTTACAGTATATTCTGTGAAGCACTTTGAGATGTCTGAACAACATGACAAGGCACTACATCAAATGCTAGGATTATTATTATGTCACATCCATTCATAGCATGAATAGAACAAGCCACACATTCAGCTCCCACCAAACTCAGAGGCTACGCTGCACCAGCAATCCAGCCATGCTGCAGTGCAGTGGTTTAGATGAAGAGGACATTTTTTTTTGTGTGTGCGACAAATCAAAGTGACAACCTATAAAATAATCCCCCCCAACCTATCTTCTCTTTGATTTCAATCGCAAAAGTTCACATACTTGGGTGTGGCAATTCAACAGTGAACAGCATCTTATCATTCTCTTCAGCACCTAGTTTAAAAGAAAGACATTATTTAACATAGAAATATATAAAATATAATTTATTAATTATGTAAAAAAGTTATGCTTTAACAAGACAAACTGCAAGACAAACTAATGTTTTAATGAGACACGACCACTATACTTATACAGTTGCTCCTGGTGTCTCCTGAACTACTGTTTTGAGACTATGATTGAATGGTGTGCAGTTTTACTGTGTTTTATCACCACCAAGAGTTCAATTTTAAGATCATGGGTCTTGGACATTTATGTATTGGATATTTCAGCCACATATAGCATTTCACAAGATTTACTTTAATGTTTGTACAGTAACTGTATTTTGTATCAGGCACATAGCAATGCCCCAAAAACAGCCATGAAGTGAATGACCAATTTTATCTGGAGAGTTGTTGTCCAGCACACCAGGAGAAACTCCCTTCTCTTTTGAATAGCACCATGGTGTAATGTCCACCTGAACAAGTGATCAGAATCTCAGTTTAATATCTCATTTGCAACAATGCAGCACTCCCCAACAGCAATGTATTGGAGCATCAGCAATGTATTGGGAGCATTTGAACGTGAGTTCAAAGTCCTGACACGTAGCTTGAACCTACAAGCTTCTAACTTTGAGGATACATAGCTGAAGAGTTTGTCTAAGTCTGCTGTTCCAGGCAATCTTACCATGTCTGTGTACACTTCGGGAGGCACTGCCTTATTGAAAAAGTCCGAACAAATAGCTCCAGTTTGAAGATAGAAGTACATCGCTGCTGAGAACTGATTGGTTGCTGTAAAATAAATAGAAGAAGATTCCTTTATTAAACCACTGTAAGACCATGATCGTATCCTCAAATCTAATTTGTCAACTTCCACATTTTTGCGGATGACACCCAGCTCTACCTCTCTGCCTCCACCCTCGACTCCAGGAACACTGCTGTGCTGACAGAATGTCTGTCAGGCATCAAGTCCTGGATGAGAGCTACATTCCATCCTATGGAGGTCATCCAGAACTCTGTAGCCCGTGTCCTTCCTGCACTAGGCTCCATGACCCTATCCCCCCATCCTTGCCCGACTCCACTGGCTTCCCATCACACAGAGGATATAGTTCAAGATCCTGTTTCTCACCTTCAAAGCTCTCCATGGCCTCGCTCTCCCTTGTCTCTGCGACCTCCTAACCCCCTACCAACCTGCCGCTGCCTCCGCTCAGCCGGCTCTGCCTGCTTCATGTCCCCCACCTCGCTCGCCCCACCATTGGCAGATGGGCCTTCAGCCACTGTGGAACTCCATCCCACAGTCCCTCTACCTCACCCCCTCCCTCGCCTCCTTCAAGACCCATCTCAAGACCCTCGTCTTCGACCGTGTCTTCGATCACCCTCCTTCCCCCACTGCCCTCCGCCGTCCCCAATCCCGACCCCCATCTTGGGTCCGAAACACTGACTGTCCAGCACCTTGGGACATCCTCCCGACGTGAAAGGTGCTTTACATATGTAACTTTTGTCGATGTTATTTATTAAATTTTTAATGCAAAGATGTTTGAAAACAGAAATATAATTATGGTGTATCGTATTATATACACACATAGGGACGTATTGAAACAAGTTCAGGGATTAGTTAAATAAATCGGCCCAAAACTGTAAGATCTGCAACATGTTCTTGAAGAGTCCTATACTTACCAAAGTAAATATCTGCTTGAGTTAATAACCAGAAGTGGTTGTTGGAATTGATGCTCAGTGAGTAGTTGACTAGTTCCTTCATTGTGACAGCAACAGCCTCAACATCCACAGCCTGCAAACTTGCAAAACAAGAGCACAACACTGGAGTGAGATTACACCAAAGATACAAGCTGCAAGAAAATGACTCAAACAAGTTAACCCAAGCTCCCCGATACCTGTGTAGATAAAGCACATAGAGATCAGAAGTTATAAGTTTGTGTTGAAATTAACTTATCTCAGTTGGGACACTGTAGGTGGCTTGGTCGGGCGAGGGGGCGGGGCGCGGCTGGGTTAGGGAAGTGTCACGTTTCTAATTATTTCCCAAAAATCCAACATGTGTGGATGTTGGGTGACGTCAGGATCAAGCTTCAGTGATGCCTCCGGTGGCTGAATACTGACCAATGAATAATAGCCACCAGAATAAGGTACTGAAGGGTTCCAAGCCCCTCACATACTGTGCCAGGAGGGAAAAGGTGTCAAACTTCTTCAGGACAGCAGGAGGTAACATTATTGGCACCAGGGTGGGGGGTGAGTGGAGGAAAGAAAATAAACTTTACAACCATTTTTGGGGGGCATAGACTAGTTGGGCCAAATAGCCTGTTTCTGTGCAATATGACACTGAATGTAAAAAAAATATGAATACGGCTTACTTTGGTACAGATGTTGGCCAAATTGATGTATGTTCAGCAGTCACATCATTCACTATGTCATCCTAAAAACAGAAAGCTTGTCAGTTTTATTATTATTTAAAAAGCAGTTCAACATTTCCTTAACTTGTAAAAATAATCAGTTTTCAAACACAAGGTGCAGTAAAATCTGATAAGATTATCAATACAAACCCGAACAATGTTATGTAACTTCACAAAGAGGGAGATTAATGCTGTTAGAACCAAAGGATCCTACAAGAGAGGAAAAAAAAGACATACATTAGGAATTCTATATGAATTCACAAGGACAAAATTATCAATCCTCCATTCAAGGAACATTATACTTCTGAGAAGATCCCAGCTGATACAATTGTTTCATATTTAATTAAAACAACAAACATTTAAAATGTTGCTTTTGCCTACAATTGCAATCATTACATTTGACAATTAGTAATTATCTGCATTCAAACCTCTCCTGGGATTCTAAACTCTGCTCTTCCCTGAAGGTTCCTCATGGAGATGTCCCCTAATAATCTCAAGGCTCTATCCTCAGTCGATTTCCATTGCCCAGACAACCGTTAGATACAGTACAAAACTTACAATACAAAATTACATTAGCATAGAGCCTTTCATGTCGAGAGGACATAGCAATGTGATGTTTAAGAGGGGACCTAATAGAGTTGTTTAAAATTATGAAACGGTTCGATAAGGTTAACATAAATAGGCTGTGTCTACTGATTGGCGAGTCTGTAACCAGAGATACAAGTATAAGATAATGACTAGGGGATCTGAAAGAGAATTTTCAGCAGAGCTGCTTCACACAGCAGACAGTGAGATTGTGGAACTCGCTGCCTGAAGCGTTGATTAAATCAGACAGTGTAGATGCATTCAAGAGGAAGCTAGACCTTTACATGAGGGAGAGGGGGACAGAATGGTTTGTTTCATGTTGTACATTCTTTGTAAACCACACCTCCCATTCCTCAACAGAGTGCTAGGTCACACAGTTGCCCTCTACATGCATCATGTACAAAAAACATGAAGGGTCTTGAAAGGAGACCTGGGACGAGATAAGCAAGGTCAAATGCATTGCACCCCTAACAAGCTTCTAATACCATTTTAAACAGCAACATTCATAAGGATCAGCTTAAGGTTACACACAAATCAATTAGTGTAACAAAACAGGCAAGTTCATTTTGTTTACTAAAAATATTGCTCCATACTCACCCTCAACCTCTTGATGAAAGTTACCAGCTCACTCCTAAAGCATAGAAAATTAGAAAGTTACAAACCAAGCAATGCCTATCAAAAGTTACATCTGATAAACAAGTGACCTATCACTATGTATTAGTTTACAGTAAGAGTTTAACAACAGTTTTTGGTAATGTACTGCCTGCTGGACAGCCAAACTATTTTATCTTGGTGATTAAAGTTAGGAGAAGTATCTTGCTTTGTATTTGTGCATTTCCTCCCATTGATGACCTGAATTTCCAGTCAGTTATAGACTGCAGCTTTGGTGATACGCAATCACAGTGCAGCCTGGTTAGAATGTGCTTCTTTATAGCACAAATTTGGTAATAACTTGGTTTCACTGTAGACTCTGTTCACTGCGCATGAGTGCAGCGATCCATGCACTAAGATGGCTGACTTACAGGTCATTAGGTCTCCACATGCTCTGGAGCTCCCTCCCTCAACCCCTCTGTCTTCAAAGGCAGTGTGAAATCCTAGCTCTTCAGTTCCTCCTCCCCCAGCCTTGTTATGCATCCGTCACTATCTCTGTGACATTACAGATGTTACTGTAAGTGAAGGATGCTCTATGAATGCTAGTTGCTGTTACCTGTACAAGATGCCCATTGTGGATTCCCGGTGTTTCATTAAACAGACTTTCCCATCGTTGCCTCGCTTGTGCTGGTTGGACAAACAGAAGATCTGGACCACTACATCCCACAGATCTTTGGCAGTCCTCCGACTTTCTTTCGGGCCAGGCAGCTCCTTACATGTTGCAGCCAAAAGCTGCCCGAGCTGCAGGTTACACAAGTGAAAGAAACAGAATACTTTAAAAAAAAGTAAAACCATCTTAAAAATTATGCCCAATTTAAGAATTTCCAAAATTCTGCACCGTCTTAAATTTTAAGACAAAATAAAGAAGCAATTCTAAATACATTCCTTCTTTAAGAAACAGTTTTAAAATGTGTTTCAAAATTTCCTCCCTGCCCCCGAACTTTCCAATAATGGTAGCGTCTAAACCTGCCTGAAGAGGGATGAGTGCCACCATCTGCTACTCACAGATCATTTTCAAGTACTGAATTATTCAGGAAACAGCGGCCTATTCACTGGGAGTTTCAGCTGTATTCTGTGAATAAGGTCAAAGAGGCTGACTTACATGCTTACAAACAGCAAATACAGTTGATTGTCCAAAATCAATTATATTTGGAGGATTGTTAGCCAGGACACCAGGGGAAACTTCTTTCACATCTCAAATATTGCCATGGGATCTTTAACGTCCACTTGAACAGGCAAACTGGGGCCTTGGTTTAATGTCTCATTCGAAGGATGGCACTTCTCATCACTGCGCACATCCCCAGCACTGTATTGGAGTGTCAGCCTTGACTAAAACTACATAGCAAGTCAAGGAAACCATTCAGCACAGGACGTTGTTGTGTGAGTAAACAAACAAGAAGATGGTTCTCTCTATAATCTCTGGATTCTCTACAAGCTCCCCTCCTCACATCCAGCTCAGGGTCCAGTCAGCTCTGTGAAGACTCCCATCCCCATTCAAATCAACATAAACTGTATTATATTGGGATCAGACGTCTCCTGTTACCTTCACATATGGGTTGTTCTGGACAAGCCCTGGAGGAATTTGAAGAGTCAGGTACTCATTCTCCTTCCAGTTCAACAAGAAGGCAACACACTCTTCAGTAATGATCTGCCGAAGAGGAATGTCTGAAATATTTGAAAGATATTTGATCAGATTTTTTAAAAAAAACTTGGAACAAAAAACAGGATTTTATTTTCCCTTCAGACCACTTTGTGGATTTAAACTGTCTGCAGTAAAAATCAAATCCTTCAAAAACTCGGTGAAAGCTTACGCTCAAAAAGTGAGGGGCGGCAGTGCTGTGAAATTGAAGAGCGCGTTATAGAATCATAGAATTATACAGCACAGGAGACGATTTGGCCCATTGTGTCTGTGTCGCTCTTTGAAAAGAGCTATCCAAATCAATCCCACTCTCCCGCTCTCTCCCCGTAGCCCCGCAAACTTGTCCTCCCCAAATAATTATCTACTTCTCTCTCAAAAGTTGTTATTGAATCGGCTTTCACCACGCTCTGTTTTATCAACTTGCCATTTCTCTGTACCCCTTAGTGACTGACCCACTTCTCCCTCATTAAGGGCAGCTTTGCTTCCTGGACTTGCACCGACTGAGAAATGGGTTGAGACTTGCTAAATCTTTGCATTTGATAAAGTGCCTTTTGCGTCAGAAGGACATCTCAAACAGCTTCACAGGACATACCGTAAATGGAGTCATCCCATAATTTATAGGTGAACTCAGCGGCTAATTTGCACAAAGCAATGCCCCAGAAACAGCCATGAAGTGAATGACCAAATTTTATTTGGGGGATTATTGGGAAGGACACTGGGAGAAACTCCCAACTAATGGGTGCATTGACAGTTACTGAATGCAAAGGAACGGATCCCTCGTTATAAAAGTATTGCAACTGCACAGATTAAGAGCAGGAATAAAAAGAATCAACTGTAATCTAACTTTGCAGTTGCTTTTCTTGCACTTAAGATTGTCATCTGAACTCTTGAAATATCTGGAAATAATTTCTAGAGATTCCTTATGCTTAATTTAATTGATTTGAAACTTGTGACTTTTATTGGACAATAGTTTACATTGACTGTTTTGTGAGTTTAGCTGAAGTTTATATAATTCACTGTTGCTTAAACTGAAAGTGGTCGCACAAATAGTACTAATTTTAAGCTTTGGTACTTGCTAAATGAGACCACATGGAGCATCTGGATGATCATACAGTATGCAAGCTTCAAACGTAGGAAGGAAGGAATTGTAGGGCAGCTTCTCCTAAAATAGGAGGAAGTCTAAATTACAATATAGATTTACATTTATATACCGATTTTCACCTGGGAGGATGACCCAAAGCACTTAATAGTACTGGCTGCGCACCTGAGTTAAGGGTGGAAGCAGAGAGCGTAGGGTGGGAAAGGCAACCGAAAGCGCGGCCAAAGAGTCAGGTTTGGAGATGGACCTTGAACAAGGTGAGAGAGGGGGCAAGTTGAGCTTCTTTGGGATGAAGTTCCAGAGAGTCGGGGCAGAAGAGCTGGAAGCCAGCCCACTGATGGTGGGGTGGAAATGGTGGGGGAAAGGAAGCAGGTCGGTGTTCGCTAGGCAAACGAAATGGACAGGTCAGTAGAGTTTCAGGAGGTCACAGAAGTTGCTGATGTTCAATTGAAGGTCAGTTAGCTCTCATCCAGGATTTCATGTCTGACAGGTAATCGGTTAGAACAGCTGTGGCCCTGGAGTCGAGGGTGACGGGAGAGAGATAAGAGTTGGGTGTCATTGCATACATGTGGAAGTTAACCCTATGTCTGCAGATAACATGACCAAGTGGATGCATATAGATAGTGAAGAGGGCTCAGGATAAGATATAACCCTGACGAATGTGACGGTGCGGGGGCGAGAGGAGAAACCGCTAAAAGAGACAAAGTGGAGATGCCTACATTGAAAAACATGCCATTGAAAATCACATGGAAACTGACTTTATGGCTGGAGATGATGTCTCCAAGGGGGAAGCATATACAAAATGAGCACAGGGTGAAGGTAAAGCACTGGGGTGTACCACAGGCCCCCAATGTTAGGACAGGATGAGAAGATACTAGAGGAACAACAATGAAGATTTTGGAACAGGTATGGAAGACAGTGAGTCAGTGAGGTGGGCCAACAGGAAAGATAATGGAGGAGAACCCATCTTAACTAAACTAACAATATGAATTTAGTGAACATAAAGAGTGATTTATTTCACAAGAACAAGTCGAGGCAATTGGCATTTCTCTGGTACGGTTCAAAGATGGATGGTGCAGGTAAAAAATAAACCTTCTGTGGTTCTTAACGCGTTTCAAATTTTGCATAAAAAAGTGATCCTTTTACATTTTTAGATCATATTTTTACAGATACCAATTTGGGAGGGAAGAGAGGAAAAATCCCATTGAAAGCCATAAAGGCAATTCGGTATCAATTTTCATAACCACAAAATGGAATAAATGCACAGATATCAAAATTAATATGCGATTCTCTGCACACTGTACTTAAAGAAATAGCTGGCCACGAGGTTCGATTACCTTCTCGCATTGATGAATGGCGGGATGATTTACTACCACGAGACAGCACTGTGAAAGAGAATAAAAAGAATGGTGGTCGGTCGTGCAAATGCTGACTTGGTTTGTACACAGGGAGTTTTGCAGTTTTATCTGCAACAATTATGATTGTGAACCAGGAATACAATCAAAGCACCAGAATATGGTTAGTCATAATGTAAACCGCAATTGCAAATTGTTAATCCCAGATTTTTTCTTCTGTTTTGGAAAATGTTCTAAACATTTTCTGGAGTCTCTACTCATATAAGATGCGGTAGAAGTTAGTCAAAATACGTAACTTTTGATAGACGAAAGTGCATGTTGCACATTAGTCCAAAATATAAGAATCTTATTAATGGCAGTTATTCTAACTCAAACTGCCTGATAAAGTTACAAGACAAGATAAAGTCAGCACAACTTTTTGCCTTCTGATGTCCGTAATTGTTATTTACTAAACTTCCACAGCATTTTTATTAAATGGCAAATAATTCCATAGGTTTACTTTGTTGGAATAAAGGTTATTGCTGGGAACGGTGGGGATGTAAAGAGACTTATTTCTTTCCCCATGTTTCTATTGCACTTTTCAATCCACCAATTTTTTATGTCTGAGAACTGAGGCGAAAGGTCAAAGCCTATAGGTCAAAGCAAAAGAGAGAACAAGACAAGAAGAAATTGTTATGCGACACAAAGCTGGGGTTTTAAACAAGTCTATAGACTGAGTTCCTTAGAAGTCTTAGGAAAGAATGAGTTTTGAGCACAATGCAGTGAGAGGGACAAAGACACATTTGGAGCAGAGAGGACCAAGTGCAGATGCAATGATTATAATAGTTGAGTAATAAATTGTTTAAATGCAGAAATTCACAAAGTATCAATTAAAAATGTAGCTAGACACCCTTCCCAACATCATTCTCAATTCCGATGTACGTTAAGTTGGGTCACAAATTCAACTTCCATCTTGGGAATCACTCTATTAGACTGCTCAATAAAAGAATAGCAGCTTACTCTGAGGTTTTTGTTAAGTAAAGATAGTATCTCACTATCCAGCAGTTGAATACTTATCCTAGCCTCACATGTATCAATATTGAGAAAGATCTTGAGGAGGGGGCGTCCATATCTGGGTACATTATGAATTACCAAATTAAAATTGTTAGACCACAATATTGATAAATCAGAGAAAGACAGGAAAAGATAAATAAAGGTTATTGCTGGGGATAGTGGGGATATAAAGTGATTTTTTCTTTCCCCATGATTCTATTGCACTTTTCAATCAAATATCACCTATCAGATGACAAGCCTTTGTTTCTATCCTGTCCAAAAGTACAAACATGTGTTAAAATAGCCTCCTTACATATAGGAGTAATGTTCAAGTACAGGAGAAACTTGAAGTTCTTCAGAGTTGCTGAGGAGAAACAAAATGTTAAGAAAGGCAAAAGGAATGAAGGATTAAGAGTGGAGAAAAGGTAACGGGTAGCAACTGATTGTTAGAATTTGTGAGAAGATATATCTAGGCAACTGTGACTTTGAGGGATTGAAAGAAACAAGATCATTCCCCATCAAAATATTGGAGGGATATTTACCTTACCACAGCAAGATAAGTCAGCCGTGACAGATCAAGAAAAAAAAACTTGCATCTGTATAGCCATTTGTAATATTTTTAAATCATTTTTAATGTTGAAACATTGCAAAGTGCTTCACAGTGATGTCTGTCAAGTTCAGAAACTCTTCTAATAGTGTCTTAGGATCTTTAGAAGCTACCTGAACAGGAAGCATACGGGAACCCAGTTTTACATCTCATTCGCTAATAATAACAATCTTTCATTTGGCATAGGTGACATAGCACCTTATCAAGTCAGTGAGACATCTCAAAGCACTTCACAGAATATACTGTAAAGTGGATTGACTGTGTATTTTGTTGGCAAACGCATCAGCTAATTGCGCACAGCAGTGCCACAAATAGTCATGGATTGATCAAATTTTTGGGGAAGGAATTATTAACCTTGGAAAGTGATCCATCAATCGCCTAACAACCGGGTTCCTACTTACTGCTAGATAAACTGAGGCGTGTGGAGTAAGGAAACTTGCCTAAGATTTTGCCGTACCGAGAATCAAACCTGGGTCCTCTCGCTTGCAAGTTAAGTGCGATAACCACTACGTTACGGGAATCCACAAGTTCAAAAGGCAAGCACTCCGCCAATACTTTGCTGGAATATCAGCCTAGACTATGAGCTCAAAGTTTCAATGTGGCACTTGAAACTACAGCTTTGTGGCACAGAGGTAAAAGTACTTCCAATCGAGCAAGGCTGACAGAGAGCTTGTCAAACCATGATCAATGGTACTCTGCAATTGGTCAATGATGCACAGAATCTGCACGGATAACGCAACATAGATAACAATACTTGCATTTGATGTAGTATCTGTAACATTAAAAACATCTCAATGTGTTTCACAGGTAACTGCTGTCAAATTGATTTTCTTTTAAGTTTTTTTCCTGTCCTTTCTGAATAGTTTCATTACCTTAATTTATAATAATGATGAATAATTTCATTATCTTAGAGCTGAAGAGAGCACTAGTGGCATCTTTCCAGCTAATAGGTCAGAAAATGATGTGAGGCAAGGGGGAATGAATCTCTGGCCTCCATTCAATGCCTAGTCTACAAAGGTGAGGTTAGCAGATCAGTGTGAAGACCACTAAATATGAACCCACCCTCTGATACTATGGAGTAAATGACCCAGAGTTACACTATAGAATAATAATCCCTGCATTTGATAGAGTCTTATCATATCTCAAAATGCTTCACAGAATGTATCGTAAAGTAATTTGACTGTGTATTTAGTGGGTGAAATTTGGTAGTCGATTGAGCACAGCAGTGTCCCACAAACAGTCGCGGATTGAGTGACCCAATTTTTTTTTTTTTTACGGATTACCCCCGGAAAGCGATCCATCCGCCAATCGACTAACAATGAGGTTCCTCCTTACTACCAAGTAAACAAAGGCACATGGAGTAAAGAAACTTGTCTATAGTTTTGCCCTCCCTGGCAATTCAAACCCAGGTCCTCTCGCAAGTGAGGAATAAATTAACAATAAATTAGATTAAGAATTAAGATAACTGAGCTATTCACAAATATGGAGCATTTCCTCCTGTACCTGGCAGCCTCATCTCGAGATATCCCCGAACTCGACTTGCGAGGTCGGCTGGTGGATGGTCTCCTGTGCCCCCTGTCGCCTCCTCATGGGCACTGATGTCCAAGAGCAACATCTCATTGAGCATCACCTGTCGTAGCTTTGGGGAAAACTCTGTCACCAGCTCAAGGCAGGTGGAATGGAGCTGCCGGGCGTGAGTAAAATCCTGGAAAGATATGGAAACGCGTTAAAATGATTATGCATTTGAGAGCCGCCCCTTTCAGGTAGCCAAAATAAAATATTTGGTGCAAAAGAAAATTACTAGGTGCAAATTGGCTACCATGTTCGCCTACAAAATACACAATCAATATGTACAATACAGTATATTCCGTGAAGGGCTTTAAGACGTCCTACAAACGTGAAATTTGCTATACTCAAATTCGAGGATTATTTTATTTACGTCTGCGAGGGTGGGAGTTTATGAAGTGGAGATCAAAGGATTGAGTCTACTCATGTTGTGAGTCGAAAATTGTGCCAATACCGCAACATTTATTTGAGATGGTTGCGGAAAACTTTCAACACTAAACAAAGTACTAAAATGCTCACACACATGTAGAGGTCATTAGCAACCAAAGCAGCCACATTTGAGGATTAAAGGGCTTTCAGTGCTTCTCTCCTTCTTTCCCCTCTCATCCCCATCATAGCTATTGTAACGTATGCAAGCTTTATAATTAAGTGATTAAATATAGGGATAAATTGAGGACTAACCTTAATGGCAATGCAATGTAGTCCTTTAGCCATCAAGACATAAACTAAATCCCTGGTTAGATTATCCTTAATGCTAAGAATAATTCCACCATAGACGGTTGGCACTTCCCACTGAAAAGGAAACAACATGTCCAGTTACAGGCTATTCACAGTACTTCAGGAGCACTTTCCAAAAGGCTCAGTCACTTACCTTGCTGGAGATGGTCCAGAACTGTCTATCAGAGGTCATCCCGTGCAGCTCGATAAGGATCTGCCGAACCCTCCAGGAGTCGATGGTCAGTATCAGCTGGTGTTCCAGCTGACCAATGTTGACACTAGCTGATGCTGAAAATACAAGTTCAAGACAAAAGTCAACTCAAATGCCAATTTCCTCCCAGATGCAATGCAGTCAAATTGCGAGTATGTGATCCGTCTGTTGCTTGACTGTGGTGCCACAGGGATGGTGGTAAACCACAGGTTTTAAGAGAAGAAACTGGAAAACCCGCAGTTATTGTATGATCAAAAGAAAAGTTCCAGGATCGGAAAAACAACCCTTAATATTGTTAGATTTGATACATGTTCTGTATCAAACTCACTAACAAATTAACTCACCAGGTATATCATAGAAAACAGTCAGAGGTTTGGTACAGAGATTAACCCGAGGTGACCTCTTCCTCATCTGATCAAGCAGTACTTTCCTCTCTTCATCTTTCAGGAGTCGCATGCACAGCTCGTGTGAAGAAATCATGAAAACAAATTGCGTATCATCCAAACTCTGGCACAAGGTCCTGCAGAAATATCAACAGAAGCTGGTCTCTTTCTTCCCGTAAGGGACTCTGGATAATAATCATAATAATCCTTACATTTGATATAGTGCCTTTCACATCTGGAGAACATCTCTAAATGCTTCCCAGGATGTACTGTAAAGTGGAGGGACTGTATATTATATGGATGTACCTGGCAGCTAATTTGCACACAGGGGTGTGCCGCAAGCAGCCATGAAGCGAATGACCAATTCTATTTGGGTTGACCAGAATACTAGGAGAAACTCCCTTCTCCTTTTGAAAAGGCACCTTTAACAGAACAGGCAGAGGAAACCTCAGTTTAACATCTCCTCTCATAGCAAAGCACCTCCAACAATGCAGCACCAAGTACTGCACTGGAAAGTTAGCATGGACTATACGAGTTCTAATTCAAAGAAGAAAGAAAATGACCTATTCTCTCCTGAAGTTCTTAGCACTGATAATAAACAAATAAAAGAAAGGTGTGGATTCTTAAAATCTCAAAATATCCCAAGTGTTTCTTAGTCATTATATATGTTGTCATATATAATGATCCTTCTGTAGACAAAAAACAAGTGTTCTCAATTTAAATATATATATTTAAACAAATAAACGATTATGCTACACCTTAAAGTAAATCCCAGGAAAGCTTTGAGAAATCCTTCTGATGTGAAAGGCCTATATCAATAGAATAGTAAACCTATGTACTCACTTTAAGAACGCAGCCAAATGTCTTTTGGAGTTTTCTGAAGCTTGATCCAAATTCAAAGATCGCACACATGCCTAGAATACCAAACATTACAAAGTCACTCAAAGTTTGTGAAGCTAACAGTGATTAATGTTTGAGTAGAACTATAAAATGAATTTAGCAAAGACAGCAATGACTTATTACTTATTTTGTTCCCCAACATTGGGGGTGGGGGGAAGAGAAGGAAAATAGTGTAAAATAATGTCTTTTCTTCCAGGACTGGCATCACAAACCATTTGCAATCTCAACCGCAGAGACCTGAGACACTTTGAAACAATTCTGCGTGACACTCTCTAGCTGTCACACAAGCAGAGTGGTGACTGGGATGACGATGAAGGGAATAAAGAAATGCTAATAACATGTAGCTATTAGAAAGACCTCAATTGAGCACAAATGGTATTAGAGGTCCTTGCATTTCTGAAACATAACCTTATGTCAACACTCTATATCTAGTAAGAAGTCCGAACCCCACAAGTTTCTCTCGCTTACAGTAGGAAATGTCTGTCTATCTGTTCCTTACCTCCAAAAGAAAATCAATTCGTTCTTTTGTGGGTTTCAGCATCAGCTGGTGAAATCGTACCCCAATCACCTGACCCTCCAGAACATCCCGAACAGTGTTGCATATACAAACTTTAAAACAAACTTCCTCCAAGGCGCTATCGCTGCAATAAATAACACATCAATCAACAATACTTAACCATCTCTGTGAGTCTTCAACTGGCAAGTGTCTGAGATGCAACAATATGTGACTATGAGTCCATCACAAGGCAGGGATGCGGTTGAGGTCATGTAATGGGGGGATGAAATTGTTCCCAACCATGATTAAATCTTATCAGTTAATCCAGCAAGGTTTACTTTTCAAAGCCATCCTGCGTTAGCTTCACCACAGACAATTTTGAACTAAAATATCGGGAGGAAATCTGCCTCCCCACGACATGGCACAGTGTTTTGGGACATCCTCCTGACAGGAAAAGCACCATACCAAATGTAAAATTATTATATTATTATTATTAATAAGTTATTAATATTCTTACCCACTTTGTGCCATCTGATAAAGCTCTCTCAGGACAGACTGTCTGAAGTAGGCCAGCAAGCTGAGGGTTACATTGTCATCGAGAAAAATCTCAATCAATCTCTGTAAGAGTTGAAAAAAAGAATGATTCAGCACATACCATCACTTCGAAGATATAACTCATATTCATCTCAAGACATCTTAGCTGGGGCAGCATTTAGAGCCCTGGGGGGAGGGGGAGGGGAGAATAAGCCAAGTTGCAGCTCCTGATTATTACTCAGTGACCTCCTTCTGAAATTTTCAAGGCTTTGGATGTTGGCAAGCTATTCGACTGAAGCTATTTGGCTGCGATATAAAAAGGCAAGTTCCGATTTTATTTCTTACCTGATAATTTCTGGATTTAATGCAGTGGTGAACATGTCCATATGTAGTTAGCTGGGATTCAGTCACATTAGACGGGATTGCCAGCACTGCACAAGCCTGGCAGTAGCCACCAAGCCTACTCTGGTCAATACGACAGTGAACAGGTTCAGGACCAATCTTTACAAAGAAAATGTGAGAAGAGAAAGGAATAACAACACCTTTTATTTAAAGGAAATGGTTAAATTTCTCCCCAACCCCCAATATCCTGCCTGAAAGACGTTATATAAATGCAAGTTGTTGCTGTTGCTACTCTGCTCAGTGAGATTATTCTGTGGGGGTCAACCGCAGGCGGAATCAATGCAGGTTCTTAGTGACCCACTGCTCCCAGTGTTTACAGATAAATCATGGCAAAGGGCCAAGACCTATAATATAGGTTCAAAAGGATAGAAGAAAAACTGGATGTTGAGAAGCTAAGTGACACCAAGCTTGAGTTTCAAAAGCCAGTAAATTACAGGAGAAAGGGACGATTGAGGGAGGTAAAGAGTTACAGGTAGGAATTCATTATAGTAAAGTGAGCCTTGATTTCAACCTAGTTAGGAAAAGAGTATTAGGGTGTAGTATACTTGGAGTTTGAGAAGAAAGTTGAAATAAACTGGAACCATACTGATCAAATAGATAACGACCAAAAGGTTGAGGTACAGAAATACAGAATTATTTGCGCTAAGGACAGACTTGAGGCTTCACAGAGTCAGGAATTTGAGAGGAAAGTAGTGTTTGGCATGAGAAAGGAAATAACAATGATAAGATTCCTAGTGTTTAATACAAATCTTATCATGTTGTCAAGAAATCTCAAAGTGCTTCACAGGATTTGCAATAGAGTGTCGTGACTGTGTACCTTGTAGGCCAACACAACAACCAATTTGCACACAGCAAGAAACCAAATTACTTGGAGGTAGCTTTAGCAACAGAGGAGATGTGCATAATTCAGTTGACATCAGGGCCAGCCCTTGCAAATCACTTTTTGAAATAAACAACAATAAAATTATAAACCTATTGTTGAAGCTATGAAATGTCATCAGATTCTTACATTTTAAGTTCCTACAAAGGTTTTGTTATAATAAATTTTAAACAAACTTTAACTTTAGAACAAAACTACATCAATGTTTCTGAGTACCTTTGAGAGCAGCTCGTTGGTTTTGAAGAAATGTTCCTTAGCGCTCTCGTAGGCTGCTGGAGTTGTGGAACCTTGATTGAAGAACACAGTTCCCAGATCATAACAAACCTGCAATATTACCCCAAACATACCAACTCATGGCAAAAAAGTGCAGCTTTGCAAATAGTATTGTAAAATACAAAAATATAAGCATATCAATATGAGCATAAACATTTTATAATATACTGTAGTTACATAAAAGATGCACAGACTGCATTTTGAGAAAACAAATTCACTCGGATGTCGTTTTACATTTGGTCTTAATTAGAGATCAGTCCACAGGAAAACATGTTTTTAGTAGGCTTTTCCCAGTAGCTTATAGCTGGCATCAAACTGATCTCACCAATAACCCAATCTAATGAGATCAATGTCCAGCTCCAGGGTGTTGGTCACTTACAACAAACTGAATAGATTTGCTATTCATGAAATTCATGAAGAATGCAACTTGAACAAGCTGCAATGGTTTCAACAGGTCAATGTAAATGTAACATACACATTTACCCAGAACGTTGTACCACTTTGTGGAAGTACAGTATACCCGAGTTTGATTCAACATTTCATGAGTATTCTCTTCGAGGAGTGGGTGGTAGGGAAAGTGGAGGGGTTGGGGAAGGGGTGGTAAACACGGTTTCCTCGGAGCTGCGCCGGCTCGAGTGTGAGCTGCTTAGCAATGGAATGTTGGAATAAAATCAATAGTCCGTGACTGTCTCGGTCGTCTGGTTCCTGAGCCAGGCCCGTCCACAGTATCCAAGGGCATTGCTGATGGCAGACCAGCATCCCAGCTCATTGGCAGGCCTTGGAGGAGCAGATTAGTCTGTGAGAACAGGGATTCTATGCACTCAGTTCCTGCAAGCTAAAGCCCTGATGGGTAGGGTGATCCTAGCTGGACAAGCAGTGGAAAGCTTCCCAGACAGTTCTCTCAATGGCAAGCTATGTGGTGTTAGCTGGTTAGGCTCCAGCAGTATCCCAATGCTCTAGCTAAGCCGTGCCTAATGCTCCCCAGAATAAAGTAAGCAGGATGCATCCTCCGTGGAGAGAGTGCGATTCCAGACACAGGGAAATTTCCACGTGTTAGTGGCGTATATATGTGGAACTCTATCTGGTTTGGATACTCTTAAGGATGGTGATTTTATTTTCATGTGTCAAGACAGCAGATGACCAAAAATAAATTCAACATGTCAGCCAAAGGTGAACTGTTGATGCAGCTCTAGTATTTACTATTAATAGAATCAATTTTGAATGTCCATTTTGAGTACTGGTTAATTCTTAGAGTAAATGGGCTGCTGCAAACTGTCAAGTTTATGAGTATGAAGAGACATGACACGACTTCCCCCTTGATGATGTACTCTACATTGCCCAGTATTACCTCGTCCTTGCCTTCAAGGCCCTCTACGGTCTTGCTCCTTACTACCTCTGTGGTCTGCTAACCCCATATCAACCTGTTCGCTCCCTCCACTCAGCAGTCTCCGGCTTGCTCCACACCTCTGCCTGGCCTGTCCCACCATCGGCAGTTGGGCCTTCAGCCTTTCTGCCCCCACCCTTTGGAACTTCATCCTAGTCCCATTGCCTTGCTCCCTCCCTTGCCTCCTTCAAGGCGGGTCTCAAGACCCTACTCTTCAACCGTGCCTTTGGCCACCCTCCTACCTTCCCTGCCCTCCGCCCTTCTTGATCCCAACCCCCACTGCTCGGGTCCAAATCCCTGACTGTCCAGCGTCTTGGGATGTCCTCCTGATGTGAAAGGTGCTATACAAACGTAATTTTGTATTGTATTTTATTGTCTTACCTGACAATGCATTTCATCGGTACTAATTTTCAATCCTGCTGTTGAAGTTTCCATCTCTCCATTTGCCATGCCGGGCTCTGCTACTAACTGGTCCAAGGTCCTCATGGTATGGACACGCAGATCTGCAGTTAGCTCAAGGGCTCTCTCCAGTACCAGAATAGAATCTCCAGCCTGCTCTTTTAACTGTTGGTGTGAACATTAGATTCAGTTATCCACAAGCTGTTAATTACTAAATAATTCATATACAGCTCGCCAATAAAAAGGGAAACTCACCACCGAGCAATGTAATAATAATGTAATAATAATAATCCTTGCATTGATACATGTTACCCCATGTGAAGGGCACTATATAACAGTAACATTGCAAGCTACAGTTGTTGTAGTGCCTCATCATGTCACTGAAATATCTCAAAGTGCTTCACAAGCACGTTTGGCTACAAATACACAAACTAACAATATTAAATTCTAACAAAGCTATAAAAAAGGAACAGATAAAATATGAAGATAACATAGGTTTTAGGTTGTTATACAGATTGCAGAATTACACTATTACATACATCAGTTCAAGGCATACCATATAAAATGATAACGACTTGACTTCAGTGTCCTCAACAAACTATTACAAATATTGACTGCGTATTTATACATAGCCATGAGGTAAATAACCAATTTTATCCAGGGGATTGTTGGCTAGGATTCCAGCATAAGCACACTGTAGCTTTGCTGGATCTCTGTGCTTTTACTCAGGATGTTTCTTTACCATGACTCCATTTTCTTGTCAAGGTGAAGTTTCTCTGCAGATTGAGGGAGACAAGAGGAATCCGATCAGCGAAGGGCCACGTATCCAAACAGAATGCCAGTCTGTCTGAGCAACTGCACCCTGAGGTCATGTCAATCAGCAACTCAACTCATAAGCAACTCACTCATTCCATGATATCGCCAGAATATCCCAGGCCACAATTCAGTTGGCAAGAGTTAAAATTGATCCTGTGGAATTGGTGAGGGAGACAAATATATGTAAAGGGCTGAAAGAGGAAGGGGAGGTTGCTGTTCCAGTCATCCAGAACTGACCCCCTTCCACCAGCCTCATCTTTAGAGGCACAAAAAGGGCAAGAGAAAGATTTTATATTGAACATGAGGAGCAAGGCCTTTTCAATATATTCATACTGAGACATTTCCTTCTTATCCCACCTCCCCATCCTATATGGCTGCAATGTACTAGTTTCTTCAAAAGCTGGTGCTTTTCTTATCAGCCTTTTAAGATGTCAGTCTGGCTAAGTTACTTGCACTCTTGCCTCTCAGCCAAAAAGTTGTGAGTTCAACCTCCATATCATGACTTTGCGCTCTCATTCTAAGTTAACATTCAAATAAAGTGCTGGGGGAGCGCTGCGTTGTTGGAAGTGGCATCCTTCAGACAGGATGTTAAATTGAGGTTCTGTGGATGTTAAAGATCTCATGGCCAACAACTTCCCAGATAAAATGGGTCATTCACTTCGTGGCTCTTTGTGAGGCAACTGCTGTGTGCAAATTAGTTGCCTTGTTCGCCTAAAACATACTGGATTTTCCCACTATTTTCTCTGGTAGGGGAATCCAGAACAAGGGGGCATAATCTTAAAATTAGAGCTGGGCCATTTAGGAATGAAATCAGGAAGCATTTTTGACACAAAGGTTCATGGAAATCTGGAACTCCCTTCCCCAAAAGGCTGTGGATGCTGAATCCATTCAAATTTTCAAGACTGAGGCGAATAGATTTTTGTTAGGTAAAGGATATGGGGCAAACGCAGGTACTTGGAGTTGTGGTACAGATCAGATATGATCTATTAGATTGTTGGAACAGACTCAAGTGGCTGAATGGTCTACTCCTGTTCCTATGTTCGTAAAATAGTCATTACACTGTACAGTAAATCCTGTGGAGCAATTTGAGACATCCTTCGGATACGAAACGCGCTATATCAAATGCAAGGGACATTAATTATTTTATATTATTTTCACCACAAGCAAGCTAATCTAATTCTCCTTTTCCAAATATCAAATTCCACTTTTGAAGTAATTTAAGCGCTCTGCTTCAACAACAGTTTGTGCCGGATAATTGCACATTCCAACCATCCTCTGTGTAAAGATTTGGTTTCTATTCTCCCCTTCGACTGTGTTTGTGATTATCTCAAATTCATTCCCTCCTGTAACTGAGCAAGAAAGATACAAAATCAACTCAGCAGCAGAGAGAGAATATGAAGTTTAACCACATTAATCAGCTCCTCCGTCACATCTCCGTCACCACATTTTCTCTTCAACCGTGCCTTCAGTTCCCCTCTCGACTCTCTACCCCCTCCTCGCTCCCTCCCTTCCCTCCCCTCACCCTGACCATTTCCCCCCTGCTCGGGTCCCGACCCAACTGTCCAACGCCTTGGGACGTCCTCCCGTCGTGAAAGGCGCTCTATAAATGCAATCTTGTTGTTGTTGTTGTTGTGATGTTTGATTTCCTACCTGCAGAGGTCAGGAAGAAGTCACTCCATTTGGGACTTATATTTGTAGATGTATAATATATAAATTTATAATTTATATTTATGGATGTAGCATTTGGAAATATGCATTATCTAACAAAAGTCCAGTTACAATGGTAAGAGGGGGGAGAGAAAATGTGTGGCTGGAAGAGTTTCTTTAACTGTTAAGAATGAAAAGGGTAATTTTTCTACTTTTTCTGTAAATCTTTCCAAAAATCAAATAGAAAACATGCACCTTCCAACACGCTGCCTTCACCAGAATTATTTTTTTCTATCAAAAGGCAGTTGCTTGGTTGAAGTGCAGCTCATGCCACTCTAACCAACAGTTCTATGGTTGGGGAAATATTACAATTTGGTTTTACAGAAATATTTACAGAATCGCACACCACCTTGAAGCGCATGAGAAACTCACCACTTTCAAAATGGTCTCGGTCAGTTCTTTCTCCTGCTGCATCTGACTCATTCTATGGAGAAAAGCAGAAAGCCACAAGCTGAACAGGATGCCAAACATTACTCGAGAAAGAAAGTTCAGAGAGCAAGGCCAACAGGACAAGAGCAGCTGACTCAACCACACGAACACAACAAGAAAACACTGCCACATTCACTGCCTTTAACAAAATGTATTCTGATATACATTTTAGCAGTCACTTTGAAAGCATCAAAATTAACAACAACAAATGTATCTTCTGAGACTGTGTAGAGCTATGGATTAGTTTATGGGGTCATGGTTCATCCCCATCACAGACTGGCGAGTCTCCACTCCACTGGTTGGAAGGATATGAAATGGAATGAGCTGTGACAACTTTTCATAACACGATTCACTGCACTTTGAAGTAACTTTTTTTTAAAAGGCTTGGGAGACATTTGACATGACAAGTTCTATATTAAATACAGTTATTCATTCCATCAAGCCTGGCTTTAGTGAGTTGTTAAACCAAGTACTGTCTGATTGTTCAAATGTACATTAAAAGTCCCTGGGGCTCATCCGCTGCCCTATAATGATTAGGGAAAGGCAGCGGTCCAGTTCCTATTCCCATTCTTTGCTACAAACGTACATGTGCTTACATCAGCCAAGGATCAGCTGAGATGCTTTCCACAATTACTTAGCCTGCCATCACTCAACATGCAAGCTCACAAATGAAGAACCATCTCGTGTAAAGTACCTACAGAAGTGCATCAAAGCCTGGATCATACCTATAAAAATTTACAAAGAATGTACAGCACGGAAACAGGTCCCTCAACCCAACTGGTCTGTGCTGGTGTTTATACTCCACTCGAGTCTCCACTCTGTCCTTACTTCCTCCTAAACCCTTCTATTTCCCTCTCCCTCATTTGAAGGTCGAGCTTCCTCTTGAAGGGATCCATAATGTCTCATTCAACCAGCGCTTTAGGCACAATCTTCTTCTCTTTTGGATCCCTTAATCGCTTTCTTATATTTTCTGTTGCTGGGTAGCCTGTAATACACCCCTAATAGCGTGGCTAGGCCTTTTTTTAATCCTTTATTTGAGCTACCAAGGGTAGGAGGAAAAGTTATTATAATAATCCTTGCTTTTAATATATCCTTTTACATTGGGAGGGCGTCTCAAAACGCTTTACAGGATATACTGTAAAGCATGGTGACTGTGTTTTATAGATTCAGGAACAAAATGATTTTGCTCTGAGCACTCAACTCACATGTTCAATTGTGGAGGACCAGGTTTGGGTTGTTTGACTGGAAAGCTGCTCTGCACGGTGGTCCTAACCGCCCTGTTCAAACAAAAACATCCTTCCTCATGAAACATGCAGTGGATGGTTCACTCAAGTGATCTCTATGAATGTCACAGCAGATTAAATTACCTTTTAAAAAAGCAACTCATACCTCAGTGTGTAACATAGTGCTACTGAACAGCTATTTGCAACCATTTCTGTGAATTAACTTTTCATAAAGCTTTAAACGCACTTTGAACAAGTCAAGATTAACACAAACTACTTAATGATAAAATACTGCAAAAGCTGAATCTTATGAACTTTCACATTTTTAAACATTCAAAGATTTAACTAGTTACCATCTAAATACTAGCTTGTATTTCAAAATGTTACAGTAAACTCCTGATAACTCGGTTCTGGCTTAACTTGTCACCTCCACTTAAATCATCAGGCTGTCAATATCCTGACCATGTATTTATACATATGCCTAACTTGCCATTCTAGATAACTTGTCACTGAGCCCCTTTCCCATGGAGTGACAAGTTATCAGAAGTTTACTGTATCTTAAAAAGTGAAACAGTACAATTCTAGGTGACTAACATGGAGTTTAAACTCACTACATATAAACTTGCCACAAATGTTTAGGCCTCATTGCGTCCTTTGTGTTAGAATACAGGGAACGAGCCAGGGTGGGGTGAGGATACATGAGGCCTAAATCACATCGAAGGAAGGCTGATCTCCTCAAAATAAAACTACAGCTATCAAGTATTAGAAATAGCTGAAATCCTCCAATGTATAGTGGATAAATAGCAGTTTTAGGTGTTGGTGCAGTCACAGATAAGACCATTGTGTTTTGATCACTGCTCTATCCTGAATTAACAGATCTCAATTTATAGCCAAGATCAGTATCCACACTGATGTCTGATATACTGCATGAAGGTACAATATATCTCTTTATATAGTCAGTAATTTTTTAATACAACTTTCCACACTCCCAACCTATTTTAGGTATAAGGATTTTGTCTACTTTGAAAGCAGGAGAATCAGCACATCTGGCCTTGTGAAGATCATCTGGAGTTAGGGGTGGGTGTGTATTGTAAGGGAGTTAGGGGTGGGTGTGTAATGTAAGGGAGTTAGGGGTGGGTGTGTATTGTAAGGGAGTTAGGTGTGGGTGTACATTGTGAGGGAGTTAGTTGTGGGTGTATATTGTGAGGGAGTTAGGGGTGGGTGTGTATTGTGAGGGAGTTAGGTGCAGGTATATATTGTGAGGGAGTTAGGTGTAGGTATACATTGTGAGGGAGTTAGGGGTGGGTGTGTATTGTGAGGGAGAGGTGTGGGTGTGTATTGTGAGGGAGTTAGGGGTGGGTGTGCATTGTGAGTTAGGGGTGGGTGTGTATTGTGAGAGAGTTGGGGTGGGTGTGTATTGTGAAGGAGTTAGTGGTGGGTGTATATTGTGAGAGCGTATGGGGTGAGGGAGTTAGGTGTGGGTGTATATTGTGAGGGAGTTAGGGGTGGGTGTGTATTGTGAGGGAGTTAGGGGTGGGTGTATATTGTGAGAGAGTTAGGGGTGGGTGCATATTGTGAGGGAGTTAGGTGTGGGTGTGTATTGTGAGGGAGTTAGGGGTGGGTGTGTATTGTGAGGGAGTTAGGGGTGGGTGTGTATTGTGAGAGAGTTAGGGGTGGGTGCATATTGTGAGGGAGTTAGGTGTGGGTGTATATTGTGAGGGAGTTAGGGGTGGGTGTGTATTGTGAGGGAGTTAGGGGTGGGTGTATATTGTGAGAGTTACGTGCGGGTGTGTATTGTGAAGGAGACAGAGTGGTGGTGGTGGTGGGTGGAGGATCTTCCAGGAGTAAACTTGATGAACCTCCAGGTCATTTATTAGTTCTTGTACCTCTGAGTTTTCCTTTACACAAGTCTGGCCTTACCATCGATTGTACACCAGCACTGCCATAGCTGTTGTAGGAGGCAGGCTGGCCAAGTCCAGCTCAACGTGCTTCACCCCCGGGGGAACCTTACTGACGCACAGCAGCTCATTTAGAAGCATATTCAGGACCGGCACACTCAAACTGGGGAATGGCAAGAGACAAAGAGCGAGCGTCACAGGTAAAATATTACACATACCAACACCCCATTAAAGGCAAGAAGACACATCCAGTGGAAGGAATTATTACCTTGGGTGGTGCAATGGTAAAAGGACATTGCAATTCTCTAATGACACAATGTGGAATTCAATCTCTCCTCCGCCAGTGTCAATTATACTTTTCAGTGTCACGTTGACTTAAATAATGTATACCTCAAATAATAATCATACAGAATTTATCTAATTTTTTTCCATCTATTATGGAGTGACCAATTCCCAGCACATCATAGAACTATTGGAAGTTTACAGAAGAAGGAGGCCATTTATCATAGAGCATCTGTGCTGGTGTCCCACTGGAGCCATCTTGTCTTTCCCAGTACCCAGCACTTTTCCCCTTACTCTTCAATATAATTTGTCCTCAAGCATTTACCCAAATCTCCTTTAAATGCTGCTTTATGGGCTTGTGGTATCGCATGACCTGGTTTACAAAGCTTACATTAAGGAAACTTTGAAAACGAACAGAAATGTTCCACTTGCCTCTTTTCCAGCAGCTCCAAGTCCCACTTTAAGTGAGCAGCTACCTTGAGTGCCAGCAGTTTCAGGGTCCGATTTCTCCTGTTGTCGGTGGGGGGCTGTACCTGGTTCTGCTCGTTCACACATGGCTTGGAGGCCTGCTCCAGAAACTGGTTGATCAGCTGGATTGGTGAGGGATCTGCCTCAACAACATTTGGATGTGAAGGATAAAAGACATTATGTAACACTGACGTAACCCGGTAACATAGTGCCAGTCTGGCTCAGTTTGTAGCACTCCCGCCCCGGGTCAGAAACCTGGGTGATTAGAGACTCTCGTTTGAGCTCACAGTCTCAGCTGACACTGCAGTACAGTGCGAGGAGAGCACTGTATGGTCAGATGTGCTATCCTTCAAATGAAACGTTAAACTGCGGTTCCATCTGTGTGTTCATGTGGATGTTAAAAATCTCATAACGCTATTTGAACAGAGAAGGAACTGAATCAAACCAAAAAGACTTTGGTGACTTCAAACCAAAGCTCATGCTAAGAGGAGAAATAAACCTGGCAAACTGTTGTCCTTAAATAATCAGTGGGAAGTGGATTCACTTTGGGGCTGCGTTGGCTTCAAGACGATGTGTTTGGCAGTGGATCATCAAAAGCGACTCAATCCTGTGAGACTGCTCCAATAACCCGAGATGCTGCGGACTCTAAGACACTCTTGAGTTCAGACCAGCCAGCTTGGCTGATCAGTAGTACTCAGAGGAGCAGACCAGTTACCAGCTTAATGCATGCCTTAAGCTTGGTGATGGGTTTCTGCACGTGTCAGATACCCAGCTGACCAAATAAAATTGTTGCATTCCTCACAGATAAACTATCCACTGATCCAGTTTACTGTTTAGCAAGAAGGTACCGAAGAACCTTGCGAAAGCAGCAGCAAGGAGTTGGCAACACTTTGCATAAGACACAGCTCCGCTGGTGTGAAATTGTGCACAAGATTTGTTGCTTTGTTTCCTCTTTCTATCGGATTATTCTTTCAGTGAAAGAAAACATTTAAAAAAAGTGTAGGTTTGAGGACTACATTGTGACTGCAGCCGCCAGCCTCGCAACACAGCAGAGAGAAGTGGCGGCAGCTAATGGGAAACTGCCCTGAAAGCAGCAGCACCAAACTCCGTGTATCCCCACTATCCTTCCACGCTGAGGGACATCTCCACAAACCTGGGAATGACTTCTGCAAATGCTTTTCCAGCAATCCTTCATCCAAGAGGAACTCAAACCAGATAGTCTGAGGGGGGGTGCAAGGTCGGCTGGACGTCACTGCTTCACGATCCGCTGCCTCTGCGCTCATCTTGCTCTCGCTTCGCTCCTACAAGTGTATAAAACATATTAAGCTAAAAGATTTGGTTATACCTTCCCAGTCTTTCTACATATCTCTTCTTCTTCCCTACTCCTTCCCCAGCATTTCTCTCTGATCTCTTGCAATATCCCCCCCCCCGGTCTCTCCCCATGAAAAAACTTCTTTTGAAAATCCCAATACGCCAACCATTCCTTGACTGTTGGGAGGTAAGATGGTTTAGACCACCAATGGGACAGCAGACTGCGGCACTCAGAGATAATCCAGCCTATTGCCTGTCAAGCCCTCGGTTGTATTTACTCTGATTTCTTTCTCGTTCTTTCCTCACTCTCTCCGCATCACCATTGGGATCCGCTATCACACCATTCCCCTATTGTCCAAAATTCTCTCCCGAAATTCTCCCCTCCCCCCCCCCCACCCCCAGCCATCTTAAAAACGTGTCTCTTCAATCACATCTTTGGCCAACATGCTCAAATTCTCTCTCCTTTCTTCTCCCAGGGATTTCTCCATCGTCTTTCGAAAGTTCTTTGAGATGTTCATACCAAGTGAAATTGCTCATTGAGTGCAAATTAATTTTGTAGACTCTTGGCCATCGTTGCTCTGTGTCCAATGGTGTTTCATGGTCTGCCAATATAACAGAACATCTATAACATAGGAGATGTCCATGCGGCCCTTGATGTCTATCCTGGTAGCTCTCCAGTGAAACTAACTGCTCTAATCTCATTTCCCTGCACCCTTTAATATTTAATAGCATCCTCATGCAAGAATGCCTTCAGAAGAGAAGGGAAAGGGAAAACAGTAAAAAAAACATTTGGGTAGAATTAGAAAGTGGAAGGGTAAACAACAACATTTCATTTGTATAGTGCCTTTCACACCGGAAGGACATCCCAAGGCACTGTACAATCAAAGTTTCAGACCCGAGCTGAGGGTCGGGATCGGTGGGGGGCAGTGGAGGGCAGGGGGGGGAAGCAGGGTAATCAAAAGCACGGTCGAAGAGGAGGGAAGGGAAGGGGTGAGGCGGAGGGCGGAGGGACTGCAGGATGGAGTTCCAGAGGGTAGGGGCAGAGTGGCAGAAGGCCCGCCCGTTAATTGTGGGGCGGGCGAGGCGGGGATGTGAATCAAGCTGGAGCCCGCTGAGCAGACGGAGCGGGCAGAACGGTAGGGGGTTAGGAGGTCGCAGAGGTAGGGGGGAGCAAGGCCATGGAGGGCTTTGAAGGTGAGGACCAGATCTTGAACTGTTTCCTCTGTGTGAGGGAAGCCGGTGGAGTTGTGCGAGGATGGGGGTGATCGGGTCGCGGAGCCCGGTGCGGGAGAGGACACGGGCTGCAGAGCTCTGGATGACCTGCAGCCTCTGGAGGGAGGAGTTGGGGGAGGCCGACAACCAGGGAGTTTGCATAGTCCGGCCTCCTTTACAAGGTAGTAAAAGATCTCCTTTACAATGTGCCATTGACACAAATTCTTTTCAACTACAAATCTCCATGTGAGTGCTGTGGGCCTGGTCCCGGTGCCAGAGCCACTTTGAGACGCAGTGAAAAGTCAAAGAAAAAATAATCGGGAATCAGTCCCTCCTGATCACTCTCACACACCATCCAGTGGCAGAATTGAGAAAGACAAAGCACTGAGGCCCTCTGGTTAAAACATCTCTGCAAATCTACACTCTGAAACCCATGTCTGATCCAAACATTAAACCACTATTTTTGAAGTTCATGAATCTGTAATGGTGATGCGTACGTCAAGGATCTCTGGATACCTGGAGAACGACTCATTCTAAAATAAACCAAAATCAACATTTAATGTTTCCAAGTATCGCAAGAACGAAAGTACGTTTAAATACTGCAGTTCCATTCGATCTTAATTTCAAAAGAAATGTGTCAATACACTGTAACATATTTGTTTGCCACTGCAATTTCACCACTGTGCACGAATCGCACTTTGCTTTCACCATTGTGCACAGAGTGCGCTACGCTTTACTGCTCGGCAGTGCTCTCTACAGCAAGCTACGTGGTTTTAGGTGGTTAGACTCCAGTAATGCCCCCAACACACACTCTGGGGCCCCCAAGCCTTGGCTCCGGCCGACCTGCATCCAATACCCGGTTGACGTAAGACGTCCAAAAAAATTTCAGCCATTCAAAGATGAATTGCTGGCACAACACTGGTATATTACTATCTCTAGCTCCCTCCCACCCCAGCCTGTCAGGGGGCTCTGTGTGCGCAATTGGCTGCCCCAAAATACACAGTCACTCCACTTTACTGTATATTCTGTGAAACGCCATGAGATATCTCAGCGACGTGATAAGGTGCTGTATCAAAAGCAAGGATTATTGTTATTAGTAGTAGTAGTATTATGAGTCCTCAGGTGAGGTATTGCTTCCCTGGTCAAATCTGCCCTTGTCTGGTGTCTGTTGAGTTCAGCATCAAACTGAGCAAAAACAACAGCAATGTAAACCAGACACACTCAGCAGAGAAATACAGCAGTGTCTCCAGCAGCAGCAGCAGCAAGTGCGGTGACTTCAGGGTTTATATATATAATATATATATATACACATACACATCTG